CAGTTGTAATTAATTCATCTGCATAACTTGCAGCTTTTAAATACAGCATAGTAGTAGAATCGGTATAGAAATAAAATAGTTTCACATCAATTGCGAATTTCATTAAACTAAGTATCAATACTGTATTAAAAATTTCAAAAGTTTTTATTATGCATATTGGCATTATTTAAAATGTATTGATTTTTTATCAGTTTTAAAGTTGAGGTGTAAACAATTTGTAGAATACGATAGAGTAAGCCTTTAAAACTGATGTATGTATTAAAATAATTTTGAAGATTGTGATGCTCCCACCCTATTGTGTGTTGAAGGTGAGTGTGAGTAGTAGGGGGTTCGGGAAGTTTACTGAGTGGGACGTGAGCAGCGTTTTTAATCCTACGAATTTATCGTAGATCTAGGTATGGATTTTTGACATGATCTCAGATTTTCTGATAAATGGTCTTGATAAACATATCGATGTATTAATTTAAGGCGAGATAATTACGTATCAACATACATACCAGAGTAAGTTTTGCACATTTTTGGTAAACAACAGTTATAATTAATTTATTAGCAAAACCAGGTTGCTCCGGTACTTGATACAAAAAACTCGAGTACAAATAGATGAGGTCAAAATAATAACAGTTCTTCATATCAATTTTTTTTTCATGAGGACCTTCGTTAACAAGTTACGGGCCCTCAAAGGTGAAAATTAAATAGTTATTTTTATTTACAGTCTAAATTATTAATTTCAATATGATGCAAATTTGGTGATCGATAACACATACGTACAGCTTGTTTTTGATGTAATTAAAACTTCATTAAACCCAGAACGGACGGACTATGCTCAATGGTTAACAACCCAGAATTTTTGCATAGATGACGATCGCAATCTACCTATATCAAAAATAAGTTCCCCGAAGAATTTGCCAACGATACCCTCTTGGTTCAACTCGGTAAAATTAACAGTTTAGGAAATATTTGTGTTTTTATGTCACAGTTCACATCGAGCGGAGCTTCGACCATTTTTTGTTTTTAATATTTAATTGGACTTAATTACTATGTTAGACCCGTAACTATTTTTAAAATAAGAGCTTAGAAAATCTTACTGTCTGCTAATGTAATATTTACTAACAAAATTTGACAAACACACTTTACACATAACACAAAATAGAAAAACAAAACAAGAATAAGTTAAAGTTAAGAAAATAATTTAAAAGAAAGAAAACTATCAAAATACATTTTCAAAATGGGCACCTTCCACCTCCACACACTTCCTAAGGATATGAATGTTATTTGTTTGTACATGAAAAAACATTTCACAATGGAAATTAATTCTTTGTACCAATTCATCTCTTGTCTGTACTGGGGTTTAGTACACTAAACTTTTCATATATCCCCAAAGGAGGAAGTCCATAGAATTAAAGTCTGGAGAACGTGGTGGCTATGAAATTGGGCCTCCTCTCCCAATCCATTTACTATATAGTCCACACAAAAAAAGTTATCTGTACTTTTCATGCGACATATGTTATCCGTAGTATTTTTGCCTCCTGATCACGAATCCGGTGTCAGAATTGAGCTATTACATCACAGGACTTTCCCAACCTCAGAAAACAGGTCAAAAATAGCAAAAATTCACGAAAAAGTGCTAGGAACAATATATATATTTTTTTCTATATTCAAATGTTTATGTATATGGTTAAGACCCCGCCGAACGTGAATCCGCGGTCGGAATTGTTGGTTCTTTTTCTAACCTAAAAAAAAACGGGTTAATTAAGGTGAGATATCACGATTCGCGCCAAATTTGGTATACGGGGGTTTTCGGGGTCACTGATCACGAATCCGATCAGATTTACAAAATTCGTTTTTTTTTTAAATTTAATCAATTACCTATGTACTGTAACAAAAGCCGGGTCGCGTGGTAATTTATTTGTTAGTTCTCAGAACGGATGGGCCAAAAAGTAAAATATTTCAGTCATCACAAATTATAGAAAGTTGAGGGCTTTCAAGTAGGTAATGTCGTCCTTCAGAGAAATTAGAGTCAGGGCCATATGGTAGTCATCTGTTGCGTCTGGGAGACGCCAGCGTAAAAACCCATATTTTTAATAACGCGCGAAACCGCGAGAAGAGCGTAGAGATTCCAAAGAAGAATCAAATTAAATTGTGAGATAGATAATGATTGAAAAAGAAAAGTATATTAATAAGTTAGTTTTTTGACGGATTTTTCCAAGCTATAATAGTAGATTAAAAGAGATCGACTAATCCGTCCCGTAATTGCTACGCGGAGTCACTAGGGGAAGGCTAGGGTTACTTGTAAGTAGGTTTAGTTTCAGAATCCTCATATAAACGTAAAGTCAAGTCAATTAGGTAATTATTATTATAGTTATCCAAGCGTCCCGATATTCAGGTCCCCGCCAATAAGATAAGAACCGAAACTTCTGGACCCAAGAAATGGGCATGTCGTAGCGAGGTGGATTTCGGGGAAGACCTCGAAAAAGTCAGTTCCTCCTTAGATTTTAGATTGAGCAGTCGACCTAGTTGTAGATTAGAGTTTCGGGCTAGTTAATTACATTTAATAATAGATAAAGTTTTTCCAAATTTTGTATGAAGCGCGCATTCCCTGAATCTCGGTAAGCTGTCGCGCGATAATAGATTAGTTAATAATGTTGTTCGAAACGTCGTGTTGTTATTTTGTTTGTTTGTTTTGTTTATTGTTATTAAAACCCTTCCTGGAAGTTTTGGTGTTTCCTTTTGTTTCTCCACTTCAGTGTCACCCTGTATAGCCAGCCACTGGATTACATTCCACGTAAGCAATGAAAGGGTAAGTGACTGAAATGCATTCTCTGAACATACAACATTTCTAAGTTCCCACGTATTAATTAAAAGGTAATGATAAATTATAAACTCCCTTTCGAGAATTAAATAGTAACTCTTTTGAAATCCAGTCTCGTTATGATACTGGTCATAACGATACATAGATAAATAAAGAAATAATCCCTCAGGTTACAGTACTTTAAGAAGGTTCAAGATTGGGTACTTAAGTTATCAACTAAACAAAAATATTACAAAATGAATTTCGCAATTCTGACCTCTAATTCGTAATCAGCAACCCCGAAAACCCCCCGTATACCAAATTTGACGCGAATATATTATTTTTTGAAAATTTGGATCCGCCATCTTGAATTTTAAAAAAATGACCTCGGATTCGTGATCAGCGACCCCGAAAAACCCCGTATACCAAAATTTGGCCCGAATCTGTTATTTTTTTAAAATTCGTGATGTCTGACCTTAACTGACCCTTTTTTTTGAAGTTAGAAAAAGAACCATCAATTCGGACCACGAATTGCCGTTCGGCGGGGTCTTATCCATATAAATANGACCCCGAAAAACCCCGTATACCAAAATTTGGCCCGAATCTGTTATTTTTTTAAAATTCGTGATGTCTGACCTTAACTGACCCTTTTTTTTGAAGTTAGAAAAAGAACCATCAATTCGGACCACGAATTGCCGTTCGGCGGGGTCTTATCCATATAAATAAACATTTGAATATAGAAAACAAATTGTTGTATTTTTCCTAGCACTTTTTCGTGAATTTTAACTGTTTTTTGATCTGTTTTTTGAGGTTAGGAAATTCCTGTGATGAGATAGCTCAATTCTAACACCGGATTCGTGATCAGGAGGCAAAAATACTACGGAGAACATATGTCTCATGAAAAGTACAGATAACTTTCTTGTGTGTGGCTGTGTGATTAAACACAATGGATAAGTAATTTCGTAAATCAATGTTGAAATCGGGAGGAACCACATCGAGCATGAACCAAACGTTTCTTCGGATGTCTAATGGAACATCGTCTAGTAATGGCTACAAATTATTTAGCAAAAACTCCAAATTATAAATCTGGATTCACAAGAAATGGCATTCTTAATTCCGTAACTTACATCTATGGGATGAGGCACGGTACTGTTCTAACAAAATACCAGCACCGATTTATAATTAATGTATAGGCAGGAATAATGGGTAATAATTTAATAGGTCCTTACGTTTTTGAGGAACGTCTGAATGGACATCTCTATTTTGGAGTTGAATAATTAAGTTACTTACTTATTTTTGTTTTGTTTTTCTATTTTGTGTTATGTGTAAAGTGTTTGTCAAATTTTGTTAGTGAAAATTACATTAAGAGACAGTAAGATTTTCTAGGCTCTTAGTATAAAAATATGTACAGTTCTAATTATGTCTAATTAAAAATTAAAAACAAAAAATGGTGGGGGCGCCGCTCGATGTGCACTGTGACATAAAATCACAAATATTCCCTAAACTGTTAATTTTACCGAGTTGAACCAAGAGAGTATTATCGTTGGCAAATTCTTCAGGGAACTTATTTTTGATACAGGCAGATTGCGATCTTCTACGTAAAAATTCTGAGATTTCTGAGTTGTTAACCATTGGACATAGCCCGTCCCTGGCGTTGTAGGCTTAATAAAGTTTCACTTACAACATCAAAAACATGCTGTATGCATCTTATCGATCACCAAATCATGCATCATGCTGAAGATAATAGTTTAGAGACTGTAAATAAAAATAACTTTTTAATTTTCACATTTGAGGGCCGGTAGCTTGTTAACGAAGGCCCGTATGAAAAAAAATGTATATGAAGAACTCATATTATTTTGACCTCATCTATTTGTACTCGACTTTTTCGTATCAAGTACCGGGACACTCTTTAAATTTGGGCTTCCATCAAAGGATTCAACATTTAAATATGAAATCAATCCCTATGCTCTAAACTTATTAATTCATTCTCAATTGATTTATTGATGCGGTGATGCGAAAATACGAAATTATTTTGGTATCGGGACCCGCAGGAATCGATTCCCATTAGAGATCCGTATGATTTATACGTATAATGGGGATCTTACCCACCCCTACTGCGGAACAGTCAGTGCTAAGCCAGTAGAGAGAGCGGACACTGGTAAAATTCACCTTACCACAGTTCTGGCGAAGACCTAACTGGGTAGGTTAGAAGATGTATTTGTCGCGATTGCACATACCGTTGACGATGTGCAGGTATATGGGAGTATATCCTGAAGAAAAGTATAGAACTGGTCAAATAATTATATTTCTCATTATTTTCATTTCGCAATGGATTATTATTTATCTAGCCATTTTACATCTAATTTATAAAGATCATATTACTATATCGGATCTAACAAATGCTTTGGAGACGTTATTTTTAATATTTCATGTAAGTATAAGCCTTCTAAGCTCACCATTGGTCTTTGTACTTAATTATAAAACGACACTAGAAAATAGAAATTCTGTTTATGCATCTGTGTCGGCAAAAGTTGTTGCTTATAAGTTAAATATGGGATTAAAATTTTTGTCCTTATTTTTGAGACACACTGTATTTTTTTTTAATGTACTTTATTGACACTGCATTCGTTTTTCGTTCATAAAGAATTTATAATAGCTTTATTGAAAACATTCATCAATAAATTTTAAATAACTTTGAATTTTATTGTAGGCTATGATTAAATTATCTATGTTTTTTGTCAAGGAAAGTGAATTTCATGATCTACTCGAAAGGATAAACTATTTTTGGAAAGTTAACGACGTAGAGGACGAGGTAGAAAGAAAGAAGCATCAGAAATATCTAAAATTGATAAAAATTCGGTCATCAATGTACAATTTTTGGGCCTCAGCCACGTCAGTGGCTTTTATGTTGAAACCGTTTTTGTTAAAGGGCGATAATTCGATTTTTACCACGGCCAGTCCAACATGGATTCCGTCCGGTGTTATGACGTTTTACGAAGAGGTTTTTTTTGCTTTTGGCGTGTATGGACCTATTGCTGGTATGGACCTGTTTACATTGGCCCTTTTACTGCTGACGAGGATGCAGTTTGATATGTTAAATCAAGAAATCCAGCGCGTGTTCCAAAATATGACCAATTCGGAAGAGAATGTGGAGGAAACTAATGAGAGGATTAAGAAAATCGTAGATTATCATAATTTTCTCTTGGAGTAAGATTTTGTTTAAAATTAAAATACAGGCAACCTAGGCGAATATGAAATGAAATTAAAAAGTTCTGAGTTAGAATTAGTGAATAAAAACGGTGTCCAAAAATTTTCACATCTAAACATGTCTGTACTGAATTTATTTTAAAATTTTATTTCTATTTAACTACTTAGGATGTTTGAATTGCACAAAAGTTATACTCATATTATATGTATATTGTCTCTAATTAAAAAAACTAAATTTATTTTAAATATAATTATGATGCACAATTGATAATAATTATAGTGATATGTGATATACAGGGTGTTTGGAAAAGTTGGTACAAAATTTAAGGGGGTGAAAGTAGAGCCAAAAATAGTAAAAAAAGTTCCTCCGGAGCACCGTTACTGAGATATGGCCCTTCAAAGGGGTCTTATCATTTGGATATTTTTCAAAATAACTTTCTTTCTGATTAAGATAACGGAATGAAAATTGTAGGTAATAATCATACCACAAGGGTCTTTAACTACCATAAGTTTCATCAAAATCGGTTATAAATAAGGATTTTTTTTCGCTTTAAATTTACTTTATTTTCAAATATTTTATTGGGAAAATATTCACATGGAAACACACGAAATTTACTAGAAAATATTAAAAAGTTATGTGCAATCGTTCAGAAAAGGCAAGACATACAGATTCGAGTAATAAAAGTTTTCAGAAATATGTATTACGACTGAAAGTGTGTTTTCATAAAAAGTTAAATGCTTAGACATTGAGTATTATGTGCACATTCTTGTAAGTAGTTTTTTAATATTTAAGTAACTTTTGTATTTTAGGACCAACTTTTTTTTTTTAAATTTAGTTGCTAGGCGCTTTCCATTTTGTAACAAAAAATATGAAGAATTATAAATATCTAGTAAACTATAAGAATTGAAAAAAAACTTATGTCATGTTTGATAGAGTTCCATTTAAAGAAATCGAGATATCCGTAGTTGCATAAAACTCAGATCCATAATTACCATCTTTCTATTTGAAATGTAATAAAATGGGTAATATGTTTAAACGAATAGTGAAAACTCCATTTTGATATTGTATTTAGTTTCGGAGATATTGCATATTTTTGAGGATGCAACAAGAGTCAATTTGTTTACAAAAAACTTATTTGTTTATTAAAAGAGGCCTTAATTCAACGGCATATTGAATACTGCAATAATATACAGGATGTTTCATTTGAAATAAGGATAGGTAATTATTCCCAACTGGGTAGATCTTGTATCATCCCCTCGAAATTGTTTCCTTTCAGTTTGGATTTGAAGTTGAAACAATCTGTTGTTCTTAATGTGACTTCTTCTTTTTTGATTAATTTCTTGCACAGATAAACAACACATTTGAGGATGGTCCTTTGTAATTAACCATTTACATCTGTCAAACTTTTGCAACCCCTTATATAGTTTTAGAAATGATTGGGTTATATTCATTTCGATCTGTTAGGTTTCCCAGATTACCAGCTTCTTCATTGAAAAATTGAATACGAGCAGAAAATTCTTCTCCTCCTCTCCTTGCTAATTCATGAGGCAATGCGAAAAAATTTACGCTGTAATTAATTTGGGGTATCTTCTTTCCAAATTTCGATAATTCTTTTATACTCAGGTTAATGAGAAGGCACCATATTTTATTTTCAAAAGATCGGTCTGTAATTTTCTTCACACACATTTCGAGCAGCTCTAGCGATCACAAATTCTGCATCACCAAATGGATTGTGTCGTAACTGATGTGCCTAAAATATAAATAGTTTTTGTTCTTGTTTACGTTGTTAGGGTAGATGTATGTTTTAAAAAAGACGTCTCCAACATTTTTGCAACCTTTTATGTATTATTGAAGTGGCTAATGTTAAAATATATGTCCAGTTTTTAATGAGCCGAGAGTGTCCTTTATTTTGAACCGTCTAGGCCGGAAATACGGGTAGTATTTCAACGGCGAGGCAACAGATTGATTGCGAAGTTAATTTTATATTTTTCATAAAATGTTTACTGTAACTGTTTTGCTGTTTTAATTACACTTTCTTTATAATTTTCACAATTTCTGCTCTTCATATTGAAGGCATATACTCTTCCAAAATGTTCCCTAAATGTTCGACAGTCAACGGCTTATATTCTGTATATCTTTTCACTATAGAACTTGATCAACTGTTTCTTTTAAACTTTTCGATATTTTTGGATATTCAATTTTTAACTTGAGTTTTTTTTTTCGATTTACTGACTGATCATCTTTGCCAAAACGAGAAATTTTAAAGAACTACACAACAATTCCGACAAAAGTTCGCGTCAACTAAACGTGACAGCAATAAAACACCAGCACGGCTGGCATAGTTCTCTTTACATTTTGATTTCGATGATTCTACTTTAAAATGTCGGGTTTGATTCTTATTTTTCTTCACAATTTTGTTGCGAGATCAATAATTGATTGGGAATAATTTTCAAAATACATCCCGACCTCGAAAAAATTTCTAGATATAGTTAACTAATGATATTATAAATAAAAATTCATCGATTACTTTGTATGTCTGGTTGTAAATGACTCACTCTTTCCAGTTTTATGTAATTTTATGTAAGTAATATGTAATAATTTATGTACTTACCTAGGTTGTCCCATTGCGCTATGTCGAAACATCGAGTTTGAGTTGATTTAAGGTTTTTTAAAATCTATTACAATAAAGAAAAATTAAGTATACAGAATCAGTCAGTAATGTAATGAACATCCTGTATATTATTCCTTATTTCAATTCTTCTCGTAATTCTAAACAAAATTTATATAAAAATTAACCGTTTTGGAAATATCGAACTTTGAAAGTAAGAATTTTATTTAGAATTTCGAGAAGAATTGAAATATGGAATAATATACAGGGTGTTCCATTAAAGAAAAAGCAACTTTGTTTCGTCATGACTTATTGACTGATCCTGTACACTTAAATTTTCTTTATTGTAATAGATTTTAAAAAACTCTAAAACGTTTGTCTTATGATCTTTCGATAGCTATCTTACTTTAGGAGATAATCGACCGTTTCGATACACACTATAGTCCGTTTAGAAATGAAAGAGAGTAATAAAAGCTTATTATGTATGCAAATCGTAAATAAATGTAGTACTGGTGCTTATATTCAATATTTTTATATTATGTATTATCGGTATAGATGAGGTGTACTTTTAAAAAAACTTTGTGTGACCGGGTTGTACTAAATTGTAGCAGGTAGCTAAAATTTAATCCCCGACAATCCGTCTTTGTCTATGCCGCTTCAATTTCTCGGTCCATTTCTCTTATAAGTAAACAATATAAAAACAGCATTTCAAAACATGAGGCTACTTTAAGCATCATAACCGGGTTAAGAGGGTTTTTAGTAATTCAAATAAAATTATTCAATATTATTATCAAAATATTTATTTAAATTTAATGAATAGACTTTTATTCCACACAAAAATATATGTATTTTGAAAATTCAAATTATGGTGAGTAAATGTAGTGTTGTATAAATGTACAATAAAGAAAATAAAAAAGTAGGTATATTAAAATTCATCCTCTGAATATTCTGATGAATTATCTTCGTCTCCTAGATTGATAACGATAGGTTCCACAGTAACGTCAATTAAATTATCGAGTTCCCACATTTTCTCCTCTTCTTTTTGTACATGATGTATACATCTTTGCCAGTTATCTGCAGTTACTCGTTCCAAGGAATTTTTTAACAAAATTTTCACGTCACTTAATTTAAACGTCGTATTATTTCGCGCTACATCTCCTTTTACCTGCGCCCAGACTAATTCGATTGGGTTAAGTTCACAGTGATAAGGTGGTAACCGTAGTACCGTTATTTGGCGATTTGTTGCCATTTCATCGATAACATATTTTTTCTGATCTTTATTAAGATTGACAAGTGTCAAAAGTTCCTTTTTCACCATATTTGTTTCAAAAGAAATGTTTTTTCCGGATAACCATTGAATTATATCGGCTTTCCTCCAAGCAGTCGTAGGCGTCCGCTCGGTCTGCCGTGAATGGTAACTGGCATTATCCATGACAATTACAGACCCCGGAGGAATAAGATCCAACATCTGTGTAAAATACTCTTCGAAAACATCTGCGTTCATGTCTTCGTGATAGTCACCTGTATTTTTAGATTCAAATAAAAGTAAACCGCCATCTACAAAACCACTGGCACTACCTATATGTGTCACTATTAATCTTCGCCCTTTACCTGAAGGTGCCTTGAACCCTGTTGAAAGTCCATCCAAAAATGCTTGTCGAAAACTTTTTACATTTTTATCTTGCCATACTTTTGTTACAGTATATCCCTCGTTGACCCAAGTTTCGTCTAGATAATAAATATTCCTCCCTTCGTCACGGAATTTTCTAATTGATCTTAAGTAGGATCTTCGCCAACAAATAATTTCATCTTTATCGATAAGAACTGACTTCCTGTTCTGCTTTTCCCAGCAAAAATTCAACTCTCGTAAGACGGCCCATAATTTGCTTCTACTGATTTTTGGCAAATCGTTGTCCTCTGAAAGTTCACTTAAAATTTTGTTTAGCGTTGGTATTTCTTTTTTAAAATAAAATGAGTGTACTTTTCTGCGAATGACATTTTTGAAGAAATCATCTATAACGACTTTTGACCTCCCTGTAGATGATTTTGGGGGATTTACAGTATCTTGTTCATTTTTTGTTTCCTTTAAAAGTCTGTAGATAGTCGATTTTCCAATCCCTGTCATTTTGGAACACTTTTCCACGATGTCGTCAACACCGTTGGTAGGATTTTGGTGTTTCAATGCATTAAATACATTTAATATAATAATCTTCTCATTCTGAGACAGCGCACATCTTTTCACGAGTTTAGCAGGTACGTAATCTGATAAGCTCGACATTTTACGCAAACAATATTATATCCACTGGCACAATAGTCACTAAACACAAGTCGAATTTTACTCTGCTGCATTAGCACGTCTTCGTATATTCAGCTCTACACTGGATTGATCTGTGACAATACAGTGGCTCCTGCCCTATGATGTATCCAGTAAAATATACTAATGTACACCCATTACCTGTTAGCATTAGTGTTACCCGATAATTACCTGAAACGAAATATTACCACGCCCATGGCCGGTTTTTATCTCGGGGTTTTATTACTCTCTTTCATTTCCAAACAGACTATAGCGACCCTGTCTAGCTGAAATTGTTCATTTTCAGTTACGTAAATAGAATAAATAACGCTCTATCTGAAGGTATGTTCCTGTATATAGTTACCATTCTTCTGTCGATGTGTGTGGAAATGTACATTGCATCAGTACAGTAAGTTTTTACTTACTGTCGTAATAAAAAAAAAAAAATTCGTAATTTTTTTTAGGAAATCGGTAATGGTTGCAATCCAAGCAATAATGTATGCGTCCAATGGGCTATTGCAATACTGTATCTGCTACTGTCTACCTGCTCAGTCTGTAACTGACGAGGTAATTATAACAGTTTTACATTTCTGTTACATTTTTTAAATTACATCAACTTATTTTTTTACAAACATTATTCTATAATTTCATAATTTGGGATTTTTGACCAAATGGAAATTTAAGACAAATTTTCTGAATGTCGACGTTTCGTCTTTTTATTGAGACATCTTTAAGACTATCAGTAATGAGTAAAATGGTAGTAGGCGTAATGTTCCTCAGAATACTATCTTTCCTCTTATATGAAATAAACAATCGAGTTTATTATTCGTAATTTAAATTCGACTTAAATTTTTGTGTTTTTGTGGAGTGTGAAGAACCAAATAGGTATTAAAAAAATCTAGTGTTTTAAAAAATACTTTTCACATGATTCATTAAGTATGAACTGTATGAATATTAGTATGTTTATAGGCATACCTTACTAATTGTAAGTACTTAAAACTAATTTATTATGGTTTAAAATTATTTTTGCTGTTGTATAAAATGTCGGTAGTAAAAAATAAATAAAAATACTTACTAATCTGATAGTTTTTCATGAGTTTTTAATAAAAGATATTTTTATATTACTTGTTTAGTTTGCGAAACTCTGTCTTTAGTTTAGGTGAACTACGATCATTCGTCACTTTACATATTCCAATGAAGTAAACAATTGCATAGGTCCAGGGTGAACATAAAAAAGACAAGACGTATTTCTTATAAAATTTTGTTTTATAGTAAAATTTAAAGTAGTATTTAGTGAAGCATTTTTGTATAGCATAATTGTAACACACAAGGTATTTTGAGGTTCCACTGCCAATCCAGCAGGGGGAGGGGAGTATGAAAATTACGACAAAAAGGTTAAAGAAAATCAGTTTTCGCGACAGAATTTGAGAAAACACACTTATGATGTTTCTAAAGGTCAAAGGTGCCTTCGTATAAATATGATCCCCATTCAAAGTTACACCTTGTATATTTGTATAGTTATTAATTACAATACCAGATGAGCAAATAACATAAATAACACAACTTGTTTCATATTATTTCATTTTCTGTCTCTACATGCTAAAATATTTTTTAATAGTTTTTTAGATAATGTATTTTGCTATCTTTAAGCATGATGAGGCTATAGGGAGGACTAAACAACAAGAAATTTTTAAAATGTCTTTTTTGTAGGCCGAGCTTACAGCAAAATACGTATACTTCAATAACTGGAACGAACACCCTCTATCTTCAGTAAAAGTGGCACAAATAATGATAATAGCTAGAGCACAACAAAGAACACTTATTTTAGCAGGTGGATTTATTAAACTTGATTTGGAAACGTATTTAAAGGTAAGTGTGTTAACATATCTCTGACGTTTTTTCAATCATAAGAATAATTTTGAAGAAATTCAGCTTAACCGTAATGTGTTTTTTCAGACATTGAAAACAATGATATCTTATGCTATGTTCCTAAGAACTATGGGAATTGGACAGGATTAGACAGATTGATGTTTAATTGTAGCATATTAGTATTTGCTTTAGAATAATGCTCTTGAAATAGTCTTACAATGTGAAAAGGGTGATTCACTATATTTTAACTTTTTTGTTTTAAGAGTTATAAAAAAATGTGAAATGCACGATTTTTTGTGAATTTTTCGAAAATGATAGTAGGAAAACAAATGAAGTGCAAACAAAATAACCGCGGATATTGTTAACTTTGTTAATTTAAATGGAACACCCTGTATATTTTACATATTTGGAGAGAACGTTCCCTGTCGAGCATAGTCATAGGGTTTGTTGAGTTCATCTCTAACAATAAGCGAGACACTATTAAAAAACAAAAAGAAGTTTTTTTTATTAAGAATATATAACATCTTGTAATAATTGTTAGACCTATTTCAGGCATTTTTGCTTTTTTTCCAATTACGTAAGGATTTACAAGTTTAATTATAATATATTTTGACATATAGGACATTGATACGGTCCAAACTGCGTATAGTTAGGTATTTTAACTAATTGTAAATCCCACTAATTAGGCCGTGAGAGGCCTAATTACTCATGGACAATGTTATATGGTATAGGCCGTGACTATAACAGGTAATGTCATAACAACATTCTTATTGATTGGCAGTTCATATTATTATTTAATTAAAATGGCTTACACAGAAGTAGAAAATTGAAATATTATTAGGAATTAAATATTTCAGTTTTCTACTTCTTCGTAACCCATTTTAATTAAATAATAATACAAACTGTCAATCAATAACAATGTTGTCATGACATTACCTGTTACTGTCACGGCCTACCATATAACATTGTCTATGAGTAATTAGGCCTCTCACGGCCTAATTAGCCAGATTTAATTAAAATACATATACCTACGCATTTTGGACCATATCAAAGTGCGATATGTCAAAATATATTACAACTAAATCTGTAAATTCTTACATAATTAGAAAAAAGGCAGAAATACCTGAAAGAGGTTTAACAAATACAAGATATCTTATTTTCTTAATAAAAAACCTTTCCTTTTTTAATAGCATCTCGCTTATTGTTACAGATGGTCCCCCTATATGTCTATGCTTGACAAGGAACGTTCTATAAAAATATGTAAAAGTATACATCATGTTCCAATTAAATTATTTATTTGTTTATTTATTTATAAAGGCTAGTGTTACATACACCTAAAAGTGTTTACACGCGTCCAAAAAAAAAAGAAAGTGGTAAATAACAATACACATAATGATAGCAATCAACTAACTGTTATACAAATATACATAAACAACATATAATTAAAATAGATAGGATAAACGACTTACTAAGATTAATGATAACATTCATATTCGAGCTACATTACTGTCAATAAAATCTTCAAAACTATAAAAGGTATTTTTTATCAAGTATTTTTTTATCCTTGATTTAAAATTATTTTCATTAAAATTTTGAATTTGTTGAGGTATTATGTTAAAAAATTTGATGGCCCAATGATTAGTACCGACCCGCGTTTTAGTAAGTCTTAGAAATTTATTACATAAGTATGTGCTCTTTCGGGTATTATAAGAGTGAGTCTCACTTCTGATTTCAAAGTTATTTATGTGTTTTTTGACATAAATAAGACAATGAAGTACAGGGTACAGTTAGAATGTTCAATTTAGAAAAGGTCAGATATGATTCTAACAATTTTTCTCTGAAGAGTAAAAACTTTTTTCATAGAGGGAGCATGACCCCATACTAAAATAGCATATGTTATGATGGAATGGATATAGCCATGATAAATTATCAGCAAGCTTGATATTGAAACTCTTCGTTTGAGACTCCGGAGTAAATAAGTATGTTTTGATATCTTGGAGCAAACATAATTAACATGTTCATCCCATGTCAGTTTAGGGTCAAGATGAACTCCCAAGAATTTTACACGTGCTGGATTATCCCAGTTTTCCATATTCCGGAGACTAAAAATCATAGTTTCGGTCTTCGAAGTATTCAAATTGAGTTGATTACTAGTAAACCAGTTTTCTACCGATGCATGTTGGTCATAAGTTGATGTCATTAACTGTTCAAAGTTTAAGTTGGTTCTAGTTATATTGGTATCATCAGCAAAGAGTATACTTTTAGTATCATAAGGTAAACAATTAGGAAAATCATTAATATATATCAAAAACAGTAACGGACCCAATATGGAACCTTGTGGAACTCCATGTTCAATATTTTTTATGGATGATTTCACATTATTATATACAACATACTGTAATCTATTACTCAAATATGATCTTAATAAATCCGAACTGTACGATGAAAAACCATAATTATTTAGTTTATGTATAAGAATTTCATGTGATACACAATCGAAAGCTTTTGTCAGATCTAAAAATTGACTAGCAACGTATTTTCCTTCTTCAAAACTATTATTTATTGTAGATGTTAGACAGTCTATGGCTAGTGTGGTCGATAGATTACTTCGAAAACCGAATTGTTGAGGATTGAAAAGTCCCTGAGTCTCAAAATAATTAGTTATTTGTATTTTTAAGATAGTTTCATATATTTTAGCTAGATGAGGTATTACAGAGATAGGTCTGAAATTAGAGGGATTATTAATATCATTATTTTTATAAATAGGAACAACTTTAGAAATTTTTAAACATTGGGGGAAATATTTTTACGTATACAGTAATTAATTAAATCGGTGCAAGGTATTAATATTGGGTCGATTATTGACTTTAAAATTTTTGTTGAAATATTATATACATCCAAACAGGGTTTGCTCTCAAAACTCTTAACAATAGCAATGACTTCCCAAGGGGACACTTCAGAAAAGGAAAAACTATTCACTGGACGGAGTAATTGGAGGCAGCTATTTAAATCGTTGTTATTAACGGGTAAATTGCTTATAACATTGTTAACAACATTTATAAAATAGTTATTAAACTGCTCGGGTGTCAAGTTACTTAAATTATTTGAGTACCTCATTTTAGTATTATTAACTGAATTCCAAATTGCTTTTTGGGAATTTGTATGCGTTTTTATAAAAGTATCGTTAACCATTTTCTTAGCTTTAGAAATTTCAAACCGGTAGCGAGATCTAAATAATTTAAGATTAGATTTATTATAATCTGATGGATTTCTTCTACAAATTTCTATAAGAAACTGCAGTTGCCTCATTTGTCGAAGAGTAGCATTAAACCACATTATTATACCGGAATGCGATGGACGCACTAAACGATGTCGAGGCGGTAAATATTGATCGACAGAATGTATAATAATATTATTAAACATTACGAAACGAGTGTCAACGTCTATCTGATTATTATATACAAAATTCCATTTAATCGAATCAAGATGGTTATTTAATTGAATCAATCCATAGGTTGACATTGGCCGGAAGCTTATTTTTTTGGGAGAGTCTTTATCTATAATATGGGCTTGCAAGTAAATGCCATTATGATCAGACAGTTTCGAGTCGAAGGGTGCAGTAGAAATATCATTTAAAGCTAAATTAGTAAAAATGTTATCTAAACGATTTCTGCCTCGCAATAGACCAAATAAGGCTTCACTTAAACCGTACGATGTGAATATGTCCTTCAGTATTCTTACACGGTTATTAAAAGTTTATTGAAAAGGTACATTAAAGTCACCCGAGACCAACATTATTTTATTAGTTTGGGTAAAATACGTTAGGGCTAAATCTAGCTTATCTAAAAATAAGTTAAAGTCGCCAACAGGAGAACGATAGATCGTCATAATTCTAAGGCTACCCACCTCTGCTGCGGAAATCTCACAGTGTTGCTCCAAAGAAATTTAGTTTATCTGAGTTAAACTAATATAGTTGTGATAGATATCTAAAGCCACGCCACCGTGTTTTAAGTTTTTTCTGCAATATTTAGAAACAAGATTATATTTACAAATACTCACGTATTCTAACTCTTCCTGTGTACACCAGTGTTCATTAATTAAAAGAAAGTTAAATTAGCAAAGTAAACATCCGCGGCCATTTAGAACTTCATTTGTTTTTCTACTATCATTTTCGAAAACTTCATAAAAAATCGTGCAACATTTGTATTTCACATTTTTTTATAACTCTTAAAACAAAAAAAGTTAAAGGGGGGTTAAAATATAATGAATCACCCTGCACAAAATGTAATGAATAGAAAATTGCACTAATGACAGTAATTACTAGTGAATAAAATAAAGAATGAGTTTAAGGTTTGAGTATAACGGTTCTTCACTAAGTGGCTGATTAAACGTTTTAGGAACCTCAAATTAAAAATAAGTCAGCTTTCCTGTACCTAAATCTAACTGTTTTCAAGATAATCAAATTCCTTATATCTTTCTTCGTCCTGGAAGCTTTCCGCTATCAAAATTACTTGAAGAAAATTATACTAAGTGTTCCATTTTTTGCGTTACATTTTGAAAACCCGTAAACAAAATTTCAGAGTCATATTGTCTTTGGTTCCTCCTAAACGTTTAATAGGCCACTTACCGTGAAGAACCGTATATTTTTTACATTCTAATAAAAAAAATTGAGAAAGCTGTACTTATTTAATTATTCTTTTCGAAGTTAATTATGAACAATTTTAATTACTGGGCTCAATACTACTTCTTGAATAAACTTTCCTGGTAAACTTTTTAATTTTAATTTAATGAATAGACAGTTGCACTAATGCCTGTAATTGCTAGGTATAGAAAAAAATAAAGCATGAGTTTAAGTTTTGAGTATATATTTTTTACATTCCAATAAAAAAGTTGAGAAAACCGTACTTAGTTAATTATTCTTTTCGTAGTTAATTATTATAGATTATTAATTACTAGGCTCGATACTACTTCTTGAATAAACTTTATTGGTTAACTTTTAAATTTATTATGTATCTAAAACCGACGAGGGTAATAATTTGCTTACATTAGGTACATTTTATAGCGACGTTAACAGAGACAATTTTTCATAACTTTTTTTCGATTTCTTTTTCTAAAAAATCGTCTCAAATGAATTAATGTTCCTCGATATCGGAAGTCTAGGTATGCAAAAGATATCTATAACATTTTGAAACAATAGTGCTAAAATCGTCAAATATCACCAGATCAATATGAATTGCTTTTTAGTTTAAAAATATTTGCCTTTTTTTTACTAAATTTTTTTAAAAAGCATGTATTGTATTATTATACTAGGCACAGAAATTAAGGGATATTAAAAAAATTACAAAATATTGGATGATTTTCAAAGAGCTGTAACTTGGAGGGAAATGGTCGCGGTGAGAATAAAAAAAAGGAAATTGAATCTTCAAGTTTCTAGTTTTCGGATCTGGAGTTTAAAATTTTTTAGCGCCAGCAGTTTTTGAGTAATCATAAGAAAATCAACGAAAATAAATAATTACAAATTTTTGTTTTTCTTTAAAAAGCCTATGGACTTCAAAAATTTTGATAATTTCACCATAAAGCTCTTTTAGATAATTTAATTATCTTCAATTTAAGCGTTGCGTACGATGATTTGTCGCCGAGTTATCGTAGATGAAAGCAAAAAAAAATATTTATGACTTTGACAACCAATTACTCGAGAAAAAATGGTCGTACAGAAAATCCAAGCAGGGTTTTGAAAACTGCAAAGTATTCTCTACAAGTCGTAATTATTGGTTTTTGATAAAAAAAAAAATTGAAGCCTACAGGCCGTTTTAAAGAAAAGCAAAAATCTGCAATTATTTTTTCGTTGATTTTCTTATGATTACTCAAAAACTGCTGACGCCAAAAAATTTTAAACTCCAGATCCGAAAACTAGAAACTTGAAGCTTCAATTTCCTTTTTTTAATTTTCTCTACGAACATTTTCCACCAAGTTACAGCTCATTGAAAATCACCCAAAATTTGGGGATTTTTTAATATACCTTGTGTCTAGTGTAATAATCAGGGTTGCCAATCTGTGGGTAATTCCCCAAAGCGTGGGGAATTTCATTGACTGTGGTTTTTTTGTGGGGAATTGTTTTTCCTGGAGATTTTGTGGTTAATATTTATTTTATTAGGGAAGTAACTTTATATTGCATTGTAGGTGGCTAGCCTACTCTACGCGTATTGCTCTCTTATTTTATACATAAGATAATAGAGGATAGATATAATACTCTCGTTGTAACACAGTGGCCTGTCGATTTGGCAAAAATAGTAGCTAACAGCAGCTAGTAGCAGCTTAGAGTTATTCTGAACTGATATTAGTTGATATTATGTACTATTTTTGCCAAAACGAAAGCCTCCAGGACAGCCGTCATCGTCAGTCCGTCCGTCTCATTAATTAATATGTGCCTTCTTGTTTCTTGTGACTTGTGACCCTGTCATATGCTATGAGTAGCCCAGTTAACATTATTTTTATGTTTTTTTTAAAGATTTACGTCGATACAGATCATTTTGGACAATTAATGACATCAGTCTTCAGAAAAACATAAAAATAATGTTAGATCAAATCGAATATCAAAATAAGTGACCTTATGACAAAACGCATTAAATAATCTACCAAAAGGGCTGAACTTAAATTATGTGGACTACTGGCAGTTAATAACTTACCATTTCTATTAAGCATGCCATTTTAAAACGAATAAAAAAAAACGTATAGATCCTTTGTTTAATTTTAATTCTTGTTTGAAATCTAATAAAGATCGATTATTTATTTTATATGTGCCGCTTTGTAAATAATTGTATTGTGGGTATTTGTGGGTAATGGCGAATCCTGTAACGGGTATTTCATCCGGGAACCATTGGCAACCCTGGTAATAATAGAATATATGCTGTTTAAAAAATGTTTAAATTTGAATTACAGTTAAAAATGTTAAGTGTTATTTGAATGTATCAATTTTCGGCAAAATAGATTGATACAAAAGTTGATCGGTACCTGCAATGCAAAAGTTGTAATATCGTAATTCACTAGTTTGAAGAAAGCAGCTATTGAAAGCAGTTATTGAAAATAAGTGGTTCTAAGTTATTATCAATTTCGGTAAGTGATTTAATATTAATTTAATATATAGTTTTAGAATTTTGATGATTATTTTTATTTGAAATTAAAATAGGTTTACTAGGTGCCCGGAAACTAAACCGGACAAACGAAGACAGCAGATTTTAGGGATGATTTCATATCGATTTGACATAAATTGTCTTATCCAAAAATACCTTTTAAGGCATATAGAGCTTATTGAAAATGGTCCTTTGACATTGTTTTTTTAATTATTCAGATCGCTGTTTGTCTAGAAGGATCAAACTTAGGTTATGTGTTAACTCTTATACGGACAGCCTTTTGAAGTAAAAATGATCTTTTAATTATCAGTTAATATTTTTATTTTTATATATTTTTTATCTTCAACCTTTTGGTATCTGTAATATGAAAATCGAAAATATTAGAGTATTCAAGATTAAAGAGGTACTCTTTTCTTGAGTGGCTAGAGTGTACCATACACGAGAAAAATCCAAGTATTTGAAATGTTTGTTTTTTTTGCATGATAATTACAAAATTACAAATTCTTTGCTAATAGTTAGTTCCCCGTCTTCCGCTAGATTCCGCATTGCTAGATTGAGCGATTGGTCCCATTTAAACAATTAAAATCATATCATTGGAAAATTGGATAAATGTTGACTCTATTCTGAGTATATAAAACCAATTTAGAGTTGACTTTTTCTCTAATATGATTTAAATTTAACTATTATTGTCGTTTTTTACTCAGACTTGGTTTTTAATTAACTAAATATTGAGTGCAAAAATAAATCACTCAAATAATTAATTAGGGTATACAATGTTGAAATTAATTTACTTCGCGGGGCCTCCTTCGTGTCGCTGGCTGAGACCCACCAGCTGAAATCCGCCAGCTAGCCGAGACCCGCCGGCTAAGGCCTGTTCTCCTGACGACCACACTTTTCTAGAGCATCTAACGGGCCCATGTCAACTGTGGTTGAGATTACAGAAGCAATATGTAAGTGGTGCCATCTTCACGACGCCATTCAAATTACTCGAAATTAATATACGAGTACATTTAAAATCATGTAAATAAAAATTTGAAAATATCGAAAATAGGTCTAGATAGGACAAAAATTAATTATTATTAGGTCTACTGTTTAGACGTACTATGGTGGTAACCAGTGTGGGACAGTAATCAATTAAATTTTCAATCAATTAATTAATTTATACATATAGTATACAATGTTCTTATAATGGCATATAGAATTCTAATAAAGAATAAATTAAATTTCGTTTAGTGTACGTAATAATAACTCTATGATTTTTGTTTATGAAAACACTAAATGTATCTGAAAAACATTATTTTGGCTTTCAAGTCAATTTTTGTAATTTTCAACCAAATTTTTGTGACTTAGGAACACTTCTGTAGCCCCACCCATTTTGTCTAGATCATCGATTCGGTTACCCTTATTTTCATCACAATCAAAATAGACCTAATAAAAAATAAATATTGCAGTGACAAGAATTTTCAAGTATTTTACTTCTTCTGATTTTACTTATTTTTTTTCAGTTTCGTAAACATAAATAATGTATTTTCTGATGTTGGTGCACGTTTATCATCGTTTTGTCCATGTGCATCCAAATGTACATTGAATCGACACAGTAAGTTTTTTATATTACAATAATGACTCTCCGAAATGAGAACTTGTTTAATTTTATTAATATAATTATTATACAAACTATATGAATTTTTTTTTTCATTCCAAAAGCATTACTTTGAAACTTTAGCTTTTTTCGCTTCGTGTTAGTTTCCATGAAGTCAGCATTTAGTATAAGTGGATCTTCACTCCTCTGCACCCGAGAGTCTATCTCTATTCAATTCCGTAATATGTTCTCCGTCCTTCCGAGTATTTTCCTCATTATCTCTATATTCATCTCTATTAATCCTTTGTTATTTGTTTCGTCTCTTTTTTTACCGTTGGTTTGTATATTTAATTGTGTTTCTTTGTTCTTCTTATATTCAGTCTCATTTATCCGTTTTCCTTGCCTGGTTGTTATAAGTTTTTGAGTTGATCAAGCGCAGAGTTTAGTTTTTTGAGTGGTCAGGAATTTCTTTTAATTTGTTTCTTTCCATTTCCATTTTCATATAGTTCATCGTTTTTAATTTCTAATAGCAACTTGGAATGTACCAAATTGGCGAAGAAGTACTAGCGAGAGGAGGGGAGTAAAAACGTTGGCAAAAAACAAGAAGAGATGGAAAAGTTTCGTGAAGCCGTAGGCTCCATTTTGAAGTAAAAGGATCAATTATTATATGAAAATATTACACACCTAATATTTTATTCACAATTTATTGTTGTTTGTGTTACAGGAAATAAAAATACGTAATTCATTTATTAGAAAAATATTTTATCACATGAATAAATACCACTACACAATTATTAGCATCTTCAATAAACATTTATCTTAGTTCAGAACTAAGAAAAGCTTAAATTAATATTTGGTATGACTATTAACACATATGCCTACACAATTAACAACTGACTAATAAAAATTATAATTAACGCTAATGTTTACATATATTTTTTTCAATGTGATGTAGATATGGTTGCCTATTAATCCTCAAATTATTAGCTATCTCTACGTCTCTCTCGTATAATTCTTCACGCAGTTTCGTGAAATCCATGCTGCAGTATCCCCCAAATTCAGGAGGAAGCACCTCTTTGTTTACGTGTTTATGGAGAGAGTCCCAGTCGTCAAAGTGAAATTGTATCTAAAAATAAGTCATTAAGTAACAGGATTATATAATAAAGTTATTACAAAAGTGTTGACGATGAAGTCATTCTAGTAAGAGGAAGAATTGTATCTACATTGGGTACTAACAAACTGTAGAGGTAATTCTTCCTACAAAATAGTTATACCCTTACAAAGAATATAAAAACATGGAAAAAGTCTTCCACAAAAAGAATGTTGGCGTACTTGTGGAAAATGAGAAGTAGGATCTAAACATCTATACTGGTTTTACTATTGGTCATCAGCCAATGATGCATGTATGGTTTGATAAGTTTGATAGTCTAAAAGTCTTCAAAAGGCAACCAAAGCCAAATTATCTCCACACCATTAGTAGTTCTGGAAATCCCTCCATACTATTATTGGAGAAAGAAATAATATGGGTAGTGTATAAATATGCCAATGGCTAACATATGTTATAACAGATTGATAGAAGATGTAGAAAGCAACATCATTATGTCAATGACCACAGATGTTAAGCCTACAATTAACTATAAACTGCCTTCCGTCATACCCCTTCCTGGGAGGAATGAATTATTTGACCTTTTTAAGAGCAGACAGCTGCTGTTGGTAAACAGACGGTTCCAAAACTCCAGAGGACATTAGCACTAAAGTATACTGAATATAGCTGCAATCCGAGTTAGTACTAATTTCTTGGTACGCCTTAGTACTTGTGCAAGTATCCTTCAGACTTAAATTGAGATGTGTGTATGGATGCTGAAGAAACCTAACCATTAAGGTCTCCAGAGGAATATGGCGAGCAAGAGCTGGAGAACATTTTTCCTCAAATATCATTGGACCAGAACCAGTTCTTGGTACAATCACAGCCAAAATAGCCCACTAGAATTGGGAAGACATTTGAATACTGGCAAGAATTGGTGGTTACAACAGATTCATCCAAAAAGAGAGTTAAAAACATGCTAGAGTTAAACTGGTTACATTGTGCACACCCAATTAAGACTTCGTCTACACAAACCGGGCTTGGGCAAAGAGTCTCAGTCAGTTGCACTTAGAGAGTAAGAAAACGTCAGAATATGTACATTGTACTTGCAGTTGCAGAAAGAGACTACAACTTGATCAAATTGCCAATGTTTGTGTCCAATTTTCCACACGTGGATTATCTGTCCAGAAGCTTGTGGATGCACTTCACAAATAAGTTTTTAGTGAAGTTTTTAAACTACATACTTGGGCAACATCTCACCATTATTATCGTAAACTTCTGACGTTCCCAAACGAAAGCATGACTTGTGAATTAATATTTCTTACTTTCTGGTTGGTAACGATGTATCTAAGATTCTTCTACAATTTGAAGGAATGTTTGCGGTATGAAAGTAGTAAAGAGACGATCCACAGTTGGTTAAAATCCATACCAGAAAACTTTCTGCAATTTTCTAGATTTGTAAATTAGGTGTGAATTTCTGTATGAACTCTTGACCATTATTCATATTCTTCGTACAATTTTTTATTTTAATGATGTAAAATATCTATTCCAGATTTAATGTTACTTTTAAAATTAAAAAGAATTCAACTGACAACGTGAATTTAACATTCGCATATTCAGAAGCTGTAACTTACCCCATCTTTGATCTGCTGTGGTAGAAAAGGCCAGATAATGTTTACAGCAATATTTAGTATCCGTGAGCTATTTACAACGTGGATTTTGTATTCCTTTAGAGGCATAGTCTGCATCCTCCGTAAGGCTACTTTAATATTACCTGGTGTTAACCATTTCAGTATATTCCACGGTAAATTGGAAACGTCTATGATGACACAGATGCCATGCTGATATGCAGGATCTGTTGACAGTAAATACTCTATGAAGAAGTCGTCCACTGGTACCACGTCACCTACCAGGTCCATGGCATTAGCGTTCATATTACCTTGAAAAATTTAAAAAATGTAAATGAATGAAAAATAAGACGTTAGCTGATAAGATCTCTTAACTTGTCGATACCATTTCAAGGTACAGATGTGGACAAAACAAAGGTTTCCAGGGTTTAAGGAGCTTTTTATTGTTCACATATACAGGGTGTTCTCAAAGTTGAATCATTTATTTTAACAGCTGATAGAACTCATATAGTCGATTTACCAAAAATCGTTTATATAAAAGTTGCAGAAGAAGAGAGTTATAAAAATCCTGTTCTATAAAAATTGTTCAAAATTGTTACCATTTGTTTACCATTTATGTTTTTACAACGCAGTGGTCGAAAATTACAATAAATCAAGTTTGTATTATAAAGTTTTTTATTTTCAATTTTTTTTTAATAATTGTTAATAATTGTTTTATGTGGCAACTTTAATATAAACGATTTTTGGTAAATCGACTTTTTTACGAGTTCTACCAGCTGTTAAAATAAATGACTCAACTTTGAGAATACTCGATATACATTTTTATTACTATTATTATTCTTATTTCAATGATACTTTATAGGAAAAGGTACACACTGAAAACATTGTCATGAAAATTCGCATAATTGTCCCTAAAATGGGGACAGGCACAAATTGAAATAAACTCTCAAATATTTTAGGAAATCTTCAAATTGTTGATAATAACTTCACAATAATTGTAAAAATAGTCGCAATGTGAATGTCGAATTTTCACACAAATATAGCTTGTCTCAATTGTGTGAATTTTTATTTTTCCACCTAGGGTAACTCATATTTACAGGGTGTCCCAAAGCTATCTTGACAGGCATTATCTCGGAAACTAGTCGAGATAGCAAGAAATGTTATATAGAAAAGGTTTTCTGCTTAAAAATATCATCATTTAATCATTTTATTTTCAAATATGTAAGGTGCCCCAAAAAGATGGTATATTGCGGAACTTTAATTTTTTAAATGGAACACCGTGTATATTTTTAAGTTTTTGGGTTCTCCTTTTATTTCTGAACATATTTGATTAACCATTTACGATACCTTTCATTGACCGTTTACGATATATGAACAGTTTAATCTTGATTCAGACCTTTTCCTTACTCTTAAATAAATAAAGTAGGTGTTGATTACACTTAAAAAATTTTTCAATGTAGCTTTGTGACAGTTTCATTGACAGTAATTCAATTTCAAACTCTCCATTTAATTTTCAAATAAGTATTAGATATGCCATTAATTTTTACACCAAATGATATGTTACTTATTTATGGCGAGTGGCAAGCGGAACAACTGTATAGGGAAAGATTTTCTAATAGACATGTGCCATCTAGACAAACATTTTCTAATGTACTGCGAAAATTGCGTACTGGTTCATTTCCAAACCCAAGAGGAGTTCAGTATGTATGTTTGGCAAGAGACGAAGAAAATACTATCAATATTCTTGCGTTTATAGCAGTCAATCCACATGCGTCTATTCGTAAAATTGCGGAAGAGATTGATAAGCAAATCTTCGGTTCACCGAATTCTAGCAAATAATGGTGTCCATTCTTACAAATTATCTTTGATTCAAAATTTAAGACCATGGTTACAACAGACGTCTGGAGTATATTTCCTACGTTATGGTTCAGTTATATGACGACCCTCAGTTTCTCCATAAAATTATGTGGACCGATGAAGCATGTTTTCACAATAATGATATAGTTAATCGGCATAATAGTCATTACTGGTCTGTCGAAAATCCTCACTGGGTCAGAAAACCCATTTTCAACCCATTTGAGGAAGTAATGTGTGGTGCGGCTTATTTAATGGACGATTAATTGGACCATACTTTTATCAAGGTACTCTGACTGGTGATAGATATTTGTCCTTATTAAGAGATGTTGTTCCCGATCTTATTGAAGAAATTCAATTAAATGAGCGCCTCACTATGTGGTGGCAGCAAGACGGAGCACCACCTCATAACGCATTTTTTTGACTGAAAGATTTGGAGGGAACTGGATTGGTAATCAGGGACCTGTTAGGTGGCCTGGACGGTCACCTGACATTTAAAGCAAGTTGTGTACGCTGAAAAACCAAATAATGTTGATGATCTACAGATTAAAATCACTCGTGCTTGCTGTCAAATATCTCCAGAAGTTATACGGTTTTCTTGTACACAAGTACTTTTAAGGAGGTATAAATTGTGTCAAAATGAAAATGGCCGACAATTTGAGCACATTTTATAATAGCTATAATGTTTTTCATTTTGTATTATTCCAGAGAGTACATACTTATTAAAAAAATGTTACTCCAAAAATGTTTTCTATATTACCTCATGAACGGTTAATGATAGGTATAGAACATGGTTAATCAAATATGTTCAGAAATAAAAGGAGGACCAAAAACTTAAAAATATACAGGGTGTTCCGTTTAAAAAATTGAAGTTCCGCAATATACCATCTTTTTAGGACACCATGCATATTTGAAAATAAAATTATTAAATGCATCTTTTTAAGTAGCAAATCTTTTCTATATAAATTTTTTTTCTATCTCGACTAGTTTCCGAGATAATGCCTGTCGAAATTGCTCTGGGACTCCCTGTATATAGGCTGTTACAAATTCGCTTCTCACTACAGGGATCTCGGAAATGGTAAGAGGTACGAAGTAGCTTAAATGGGGGCAAAGTTGTGTAATCAGGGGACCAACATTATGCCTCTAAAAAATCAAGGCTAACGCGATTAGTTTTCGAAATATTTGAAAAAAACGAAATTTTGGAAATCCGTTTTTGTTTCATTTCAGCCTTGTTTGAGGTTAAATTGACAAATGAAGAACACTTTCTCGTGGCCATTTTTTGCCCTCTATCGAATAGCATAATCAATTTCTATATGTGACGCTTCGTCTTTCCAGGACCCTAGAAATTTTATTACATTTTTTGCAAACCTTTATGACCCCCAATGCCTCAGCCCGAACCAGATTCAGACGTTTTGTCTCGAAAAATTCATCTTCAGTGTATTCGTTCCAAATTTATCTAAATTTTTTATTTAGATTTCTTTGTTTATTGAATTATCGTACACTGTAGTGAGAAGCGAATTTGTAACAGCCTGTATAAATGTCCCCATCTTTAAGTTTTAATCTGTCCTGTCATTTAAAAGAGTACAAGGAAAAAGTTATGTTAAAAAATATCGTTTCCTATGATTCAAATTAAAGATCACTATAAATATTTAATTTTAAAACCCTGCTTAGCATCCCGAACAATAAGATTACAAATAATAATTTATCGTTCCTTATATATTTTATGTGCCTATTTAATAATGTTTTAAATATATGTCACGTAAGAAATAATTATTGATACACCAAGTTTAGCTGAGTCTAAATTCAGATTTTAAGGAGCTGCTTTATAATCGCATATAATAGTACGATAATAATATGCACTTAATTTTTTATGAACTTGTTTTCTTTTAGAATAACACAAAGATGTGTCTATGAAAAAATTATTTTACTATGTAGATATCGATATTTTTATGTAGGACTCTTAAGTCAATGAAAATCACGCATAATTTTAAAGAAATTGGCGGTACGACAAGTTCAACTGGAAAAAATACGACCCCACAGAATGCATGATTGCATGTTAAATTATATTCTAAAATGCTGATTCAATTGTCAATATTAAATTTGTCTATGTGCATATTTTAAAAATGCAATCATTATTTCTACTACAATTAAATCTATACACCACTCGAACTGTCTAAGTAATAATGAACATTATATCACGCGACATTGTTATCCGGATATTGAAAAAAAAATAATAATAATTTTAATGACAAATGAAGTAAATAGGTACTAAGTACCTAACCTTTGGTCAACAATAGTTTTTGCATTACACTCGTTGTCTTTGAGATTTTTTAATTAACATAATTGTTTTGATTTTAATTCACTTAAATTGTATTGTACTGTTTCATATAGGTAACTATCCTTAATGACTTAATGACTAAACAATAACAATGACTAAATGATGACAATGACAACTATCCTTAATGTCTAAACGATCTAGGAATAAGTACGAAAATATGTAATTTTCCAAAAATATAACAAAATTATCGAAGGTAGTACAGTTATTAAAAATTATGACAAACTATGAATGTAAAGTAATAAAAAAGGATAAAATTAAAATTAAAACAAAATCCTTGTTTAGTAAATTATATTAGTTTAGAAAAGCAAAGTTTTATTAAATGAATATAGCTTTTGAGTACGAGCGAGTAACTTAAAAGCTATATGAGTGTGGTAAAACTGCTTTTCTTAAGAGATTTGTTTATACTATTTTTTTGCATTTTGTGTTATAACTTTACATGATACTTTACATGATACCAAAACCACAAAGAAACGTGTATTTACCATAGGTAGAAATTTATAAGAAGTATTTACAATTATTGAGACCCGAACAAGTAAAACACAATAGATTTTAGATTTACTATAATCACGCTCAAGTGCACAATACAGTTCTAGTTGGCATCAACAGTTTTGCAAAAATTCCCCAAAAAATACTTACCACATGCATCCAGTCTCACTAGCAAGAACTAGTCAGGATCATTCAGAAAAGCAGATAGAGAATTGTAATACTTTTCAGGAGAAACAAGTAGAATTTCGTGTTGTTAACTTTTCAAATTTGAATAACTGTACCTACTTTTAATAGATATATGTAGCAATGTTTCCAATATTTAAAAAACTGTTTTTTTTTCAGTGACATTACTATATAGTAAAGTGACATTTCATGTAATATAGTGCCACTTTAGTAAACGATTTTGAATTTAGTAAAATTGCATATTATCAGTCAAAATGCGAAAAAATTATGTAACTTACCTATTTTAACTATATAAATTGGCCTTCCTTGATTGTCATGTTCACGAGTTAATATTCGAATGTCTTGTTCTATAATGTTTTTCTTTTCTGTTGGTGGATCGGTGGTAAACCATTGTGGGTGTTCACCTAATAGATCGTAGAACATTTTCATCTAACAAAAAAAGATATTCAGTGAAATAATTACAACTAAATTTAAGAATACAAAGAAAAGTCATACTTAAAGTATTCCCTTTTTACTTAACGGCATGTGTTTTAAAAGTCATCTACAAACGAGTTACTACAATTACTAGTGCCATGGTAGACGGACAATCAGTATCCTTGTGTGTGTCTTCTTTAAACATAATTTCAAACAAACGACTGTTGATGACAACAGGTTTCTAAGTAAACGGCGTGAAACTCTTTTAGTGCACGGTCACCCGACATTAGTCCCCTTGATTACTTTGTCTGAAGTCATATGAAGCAGCAGAAATGCTCTCCTCTAGTAGACATAAAACATTCTAAAAGCTGCATTCATTACGTCAAACTCAAGGAGGTATTGTATTATTGCTTGGTTGCCAGTTATGTTCCGGGATTTCAATTTGAACATCTACTTTGATTTTGTGTAGTGCTATATTCTTCTGTATTTACTGTTTGTTATTAATTCCTGTTTTCAAATAAATAACATCAAAACAAATTTAGCTTTATAGAAATAATAATTAACATTAACATTTTACAGTTCAACTAACTTTTCATTTAAAATTGATCAAGAACTCCAAAAATGTCATGAAATTTCAAAAAACGTCATTGGTGTAGAAATTCTGTTTAAGAAAGTGGCACTGACTACCCAGCTACCACGCCAGTGGTGGTTGTAATGGATCATTTGTAATTTACTTGTAAAAAACATTACATCACAATAAGATGTCCAATTTGATTTCTTTATTACTTGGCTGTTTTTTATATATCTCCAAAAACAACAGTATATTAGAAATAAATTCAATACCTACCCTGTATCTCGGTTAGGAACTGAAATCAACTGTTTAAGTTAGTACGTTTAAAAAGGGAACACCCTGTATAAAAATTTGCGAAAATAACATTCTTGTCCATTCTGCATATTCAGTATATTACATTTTATTAAATTTTGTAAGACATATTTTTTCCAAAACCCATTCTTTTACAAATAATTCAAAACAGTTCATGTCGGTATAGCTGGCACAAATTCATGGGTAATGGATTAGTTAATTTTAAGTTATTACAATTATTTTAATGATATCTGTACCAATGTTATTTAAAAAATACTAATGTACGGCAAAATGATTTTATACTTACTTTCTTAAATGCTCTCTCAACTACAAAGTTCGTGCTGTAGAGGTATCTTTTCAGGTAAGCTTCGTCACATTCCTCTAACACACTCAATTTTTCATTTTCTGAAATTAGTAACTACAGAAAGATTTTTCGAACAAAATACTATAAACAAAATCTAAAATTTACTTTTTTATCAGTTTTTTTATTTCCTGACGTCTTACAGAACATTTTCAAGTTTTATATAGGTGCATATGCAAGTATATACATCATCAAATTTGTATATATACATGAAGATATTGGGATCTCGAAACTATAGACTATATAAATGGTTAAACGGTGCAAGTTTTTGGATTGTTCTGTCTTAACAATGACCTATCAAAACCAGCTCTTTAAGATGTCGAAAAAAATATTTTAAAAGGAACCAAATGTTTCTCGAAGTATTCCACGTTTTGATTAAATTTTAGATAATGCAGTATTTTTCTATTAAAAGTTTTATATGTTCTTTCGGGTGTCCCAAAATTTACGTAAGATTGGAACTGGGCGTCTTTCAACAAGTCGTTCAACACAAAACATCTAAGCAGTTCGTGAGAGTGTGGCTGACACTCAAGAAACATCAATTCGGCACCGTGGTCAAGATTTGGACATTTCGAGAAGATCTCTACAGTATCTCTCAAGAACTGAATCCTACTGCCCACGCAGAGCGAAAACAGTTCGTTGAATGGATTATAGAACAACAAGTGGATGCTGTTTTTTTTAACAAAATCATCTTCAGCGATGGGGCTCATTTTTATCCTGATGGCTTCGTTAATCGACAAAATTCAGCAGCATTTAAGTAAAAGGTCATGGAAATCAGAGCGTATGTCGCAAAGCCGTGAAGGTCATTTACCCGTTCTGCTATTCCATATTAACCCTATAGGTAATGTATACCTACTTTATGAATCAATAAAAAATTTATTATTTTTAATAAAATTACTTCTTGTGTGAAATTTGGGACACCCTATATAAAAGAAGTTTTGAAGGTAATGGATGTTGATCAAAATAGTGAATATCGGTTTCAAAACCTTAATTTTTAGCAGAGTGTGGTCTAAAATATCTCCATTTAATCGACCTAATTCTTATACAGGAAGTTTTACAAACTTATTAAAAATAAGCATTTTCAATAATGCGTGAAACTGCAAAAAACGGTGCTTGAAATGAATAACAGTCAATATTGTTAAAGTTTATTGCCAAACTCTGGAATTCTCTCCCACAGAAGAATAGGAAAATTGGTAGAAAACTGGAAGATGTGTCTTATTATTTAATTTTCAAACAAAAAAAAGTGAACAAATATTTTATTGGTGATTATTTGACCGTATTTTTCTGTGCTCTTTTTGTGACAAGACATTAATTCTTGTAAGTTATAACAACGATACATTCCCCATGAATAAATTGTTTAATAGTTCTATGCTTTCGTGATTCATGATTTAATAAAAAGAAGCAATTGATATCGTTTTTGATATTATTGTAGTACAAATAAAGCTCATTATCATCACTTTATGTCAGACCACAATGTTATATGTATACAGCATCACACTTTTATTTATCACACTCATTTTTTAAATGACGTCTGTCGCGTAAATGTTGACAGTGACCTTAAAATGTTCCTTGATTTTTATGTGATTTATGTGATAGGTGATATGTATATGTGTTTTTCATAAAATCTCGTTAAATTTCGCCACTGTTATTAAACTTTTAAGCTATATGAGTAAGAATTTAACCTTCTTTTTCTATAGACATTGAATATATAAATGTTTTATAATACAAAATCATTTTTTTTAATGATAATGACAGCATTATGAAAATTTATCAATTATTTTAATCTGATATTTAAAAACAACTAAGTATTTCAATATAATTTCGCTTCATTTGTAAAATAAATGGATATAGATAATATCTTTTGTAATATCTTGCAAAATTCTGTCTTATTCTTTTTTTAAGTAGTATTTAAATCTCATAGGTTCTACAAGGAGTAAGTAGTTTTAGAGTGTTTACCCATCCTAAAATTTTTTTGTAAAATATTGATCTCTAGACTATTTAAAAAAATGATTTAATTTTAATATTTCGAACCGTTTTCGAAAAATTTATGTTTATATGAGAGACATTTCCATAACAATTTCCATAAAGCAAGTATTTTGTTTTTCAATTTCCAATATTTGCTTGAAATTTTTGTGCATTTATTTCCTTAAAGAAAAATAAATATAAAATTGTTACAAATGATTTATAAACATTAAATAAGTGTACCTCTTCTTCGTTAATAAACCAAGGATCAAGAATTCTAAAATTTTGGATTTTAATCGACGGGGAATTATGAAAATTGAATAAGTTAATTTAATTCCTTATATTTCTAAGAGAAAATAAACTTACTACGTTGTCAAATAAATTTAAAACATCTTTAATTGTAAAAAAATGTTTTTTGTTCGAAATACAATTGAATCATCAAAATTCCAAAAGTAATTGACGTAAGAATTTAATTTTTTAATTTTTTTAATGTAATTCTTAAGATACTTATGGCAATGATTGTTTTGGAGATTTCATGATTAAACTATTCCTAAAATGGCGATTAAAGCAAAAAATTCCTATACAGGGTGTCACCTAACGAATGTTACATACTTGAAGGGTATAATCTAGAACCCAAATGGTGTCGATTTAACCTAACTTGCTTAAACGAAAAATGTCGCTAAAGCAAAGGGTGTTAAAGTTTCTTTTTTTATTTCTTGTTTTCTCCTTAACTTAGAACCCATTTAACCGATTTGCTTAGCTTCTCTTCATGAAGTAGTGATTATGATCCTATCAGGTTAAATCATTCAGAGCGTTCAATTTAATACAACCCTTTGCGAATATTCTTCTGCGACTTTTTTGTACGTTTAAAATTTTTCACGCAACCATCAGAAATAGGTAGAGAATTTTATTCTACACAAAAAATGTGTGTCGAAATTGTGCTCGGTTATGAAGATATTACAGAACACATACCACATATTTTTTGGACAAAGCTAGTATCCATAATAAACATAATAAATAACCTAATTAATAACATAATAAACTGAAAGGTGGCAGTAATAAAAGGTCTATTCATTTATAACAAATGTTCTACGTGTTCTCCATTCTCTTCGACACATTACCTTAAACGTTTTATGAAACTATTGAGAATAGGGAACGAATTATAAGTTCGTCTAACTTGTCGTACAGCGTCTTTTAATCTATCCCAAAGTTGTTCTCCTGTATTAGGTGTTACAGTGTTGTAAACAATTCCTTTCAAATAACCCCAAAAATAAAAGTCTAACGGATTAAAATCCGGAAAACGGTACCTATGTATTAATAAATATTTTCTGTAATAACTTCATAACCGAGCATAATTTCGACTTTGATAGGTATACATTTTTTGTGTAGAATAAAATTGTCTACCTATTTCTGATAGTTGCATGTAAGAATTTAAACGAATAAAAAAAGTTACAGGAGAATATTCACAAAGCGTTATAGTAAAATGAACAAATGAACGCCCTGTATGATTTAGCCTAATAGGAACATAATCACTGTATACTTCATGAAGAGAAACGAAGCAATAGCAGATTTTACTTAAATCGGTTAACCGGGTTCTGAGTTAAAGAGAAAACAAGAAATAAAAAAAGAAACTTTAACACCCTGTAACTTCTTTTTGTGGCATTTTTCGTTTAAGCAGATTTCGTTAAATCGACACTATTTGGATTCTAGATGTACCCTTGAAGTATGTAACATTCGTTACGTGACACCCTGTATATTTTATTGTAAAATGAATAATTTTAAGTTTTTAGTGATAGGGACTCCAAGCATCTCCGTCACTGATTTTACAGATTTGTATACGGATTCAATATTTTATTAACTAGATTACAAGTCTAAGTTTCGTGTATCTACACCAAACATCCTCAGAGGTATTTGATGAATATGATACCTCTTTTATATTTACAAACCTTTTTTATTGAAAACTAAGCATTTCTCGTCCCATGAAACTTTATATCTTATATACCTACATCATGTAAAAGAAAAACAAATACCAGTAATGTAATTATTCGCAGTAAGCGCGCAAATTTGTATATAGAAAGGTATAAATGTATCTACAGTCTACACATAAAAAAATATTATCTTGAATCAAAAAGTAAACATTTATTTAAAAGAAGACATTTCGCTTAAAGATTTTTTAATTAAGACAACATATTTTCGTCCCGATTTCAGTGTTAAGTACTCTTACACACAGTGAAAATAACGATTAATATTACAAAAGAACACTACCCAGTTAACTTACAGAAAAATTTTAATCAACAACTCACCTGACAGAAGTTTCCGCAACTTCGCCACACTCTCCTCTTCATCACAAATACTTTTTTCAATCTCTTCGCCAGGCATCTTTCAAATGTGTTTTCGGGTCAGGACAGAAAGAGATCCTTTTCGGTGTCCCAATATTGTCCGTGACTCGCGCCTAATATGCTTCGAAAAGCAAGGCTGCAAACAATTTGGTGTCGCTTCGTGAAGTGAATAGTTTACGCTTATAGTATTCGATTGATGAGGTAGCGTGCCTCTCTGATGTGACAACGATGAAATATATGTGTAAGGTTTTTGCGTCACGGTGGTAAAATTATTCCAGTAAAATACAGGTCGTCATTGGGAAGGTTCCTGAGAAACCTGTTCCCAAGTAAGTAAACAGCAGAAATGAACCAGATAATAAAAAAAACGTATGATAAGCTGAAAGTACAGGTAGAACCTTGGGGTGCACGACAATTTGCCATTGAGGCCATGATGTTTTAATTGAATTATGATATTTATGCAAAATGCATTTGAGTATACAGGGTGTCTACTTGTATGTGTATTAGCTTAGGATGCGCCTGCGAGTAAATTTTGAGGTCAGTTTGAGAGCGAAAAATCAAATCAGAAACGAAACGTTTAGGACACACAGGGTGTTTTTTAAAGTATGATCTAATAATGCAGATGATTCCTTAAATAGTTTTCAGCAAAAAAAAAATAGACATACAGGGAGTCTCACGGTGAGGCCCATTAAAATTATTACAGACTCCTTCGATTTGAATTTTGAAAATTTGGGATACCGGGTTTTCGGGCATGCCCTTCTCAACTAAAATAATGGCGTCCACATACCACTTCCGGTTATACCGGAAGTCTCAATCAACTTGCTTATTTTAAATGGAACACCCTATATATTATTGCAATTTTGGATTCTACGTGTTATTTTAGGTGGACACTCATGAAGTTTCCCTATTCCTAATATTAACCGTTTTCGAGAAATTTAATTTTTTTCAAAAAAATAGAGAGAAACAGTGACAGCTTCAAACCATGTGTATTTTATAGTAAGAAAGATAAAGCAACAATATTTATAGGGGGGGGATAGCTAGAAGTGGCCTAATTGCATACAGGGTGCTAAAAATTTAATGCCGAGTTTAGTTAAATTCAAAACTTCATAAGTGGGTTTTTTTAAATGAAACATCCTGTATGTTTTTCCATATTCTGATACACAATTTTATTCTCTTTCGAACAGTATCCCTATACCTATCTCTTCTAGTTTTTAAGTTATCTACTATTTTTTGTGTAATCACCTAAAATCATGTAATTTCTTGCGAGAATAGCTGTGGAATTGCAATAATATACAGGGTGTTCCATTTAAAATAAGCAAGTTGATGACGACTTCCGGTACAATCGGAAGTGGTACGTGGACGCCATTATTTTAGTTGAGAAGGGCATGCCCGAAAACCCGGTATCTCAAATTTTCAAAATTCAAATCGAAGTAGTATGTGTGTAGTGACCGTTACTTATTTTAATATAATTCAACGAATTTATTAAGCCCAAGTTCATCAAACTATAACAAATACAACAGAAATATGCGATATTTTTCTAAACTTCCAAAAACAAATTATTTTAAATTAAAGAATAGAATTAACTCGTATAATGATTCGTTTTTAAATTATACAACCAAAAAAAAATGTTTTTCTAGTTTGAAGGTCACACTATATCGACTACATGATTTCGGAGTCGCTGAATCTGAATCCGTGATCCATTTAACCCCATCACATCAGGTTTTACCGATAACCCCATATCACCTTATAACCCAAGCTTTCAAGTCCTATTACACACAACGGTCCTGTAAAGGGAACTGTGCACCCACAATAACCCCATACATCCAATTTCAAACCTCCTAACCCCATAATCCCATAACCGACAACTTAAAATAACTACGTTATTTGACATTTATTATTATTATTTATATTTGACTTGAACTCTCATCGCGGGATATATCAAGGCTCTATAAACAGAATATATTTAACCCTATAATCCCCTAACCCCAAAACCCTATAACCAAATAACCCCATAACTCGAATAACGACGTTACGCAGTAGTTCGTTTGTTTGATGCAAGGAACATACCGTTATTGGCTCCCAGTTTCATCATATCCGTTAGATTCTCCATTAATATAAAAAATATCATGCCAAATGAAGCTTTATTTCGCGGGGCCCACTTTCGCGCTCTAACTAGCCGCCGATTCTGGACATCCGAAATTCTGTCTCGTATGTCTTTCACTTGTGTCTGCCAAGACGGCATGAAAACCATGATCCAAGGACTTCAGGGACTGGGGTTAGTATAAGCGAAATATAAAGCTTCATTTGGCACGACATTTTTTAAATTGACGGAGAATCTACTAGAGATGATGAAACTGGGAGCCAATAACGATATAGACTATGTTCCTTGTATCAAACGATCGAACGATTGTTTAACGTCGTTATTGGGGTTATGGGGTTATGGGGTTATGGGGTTATGGGGTTATAGGGTTATGGGGTTATAGGGTTATGGGGTTAGTGATGGGGGATTATAGAGTTAAATATATTCTGTTATAGACCCTTGATATATCCCGCGAGGAGAGATCAAGTCAAATTACTGAATAACGTGGTTATTGGAGTTATCGGTTATGGGGTTATGGAATTAGAAGGTCTGAGGTTGAATGTATAGGATTATAGGGTTATTGTGGGTGTACAACTCCCTTTACAGGACCGTTGTGTGTAATAGGATTTGACAGTTTGGGTTATGAGGTGATATGGGGTTATTGGCAAAATCTGACGTGATGGGGTTAAATGGATCACGGATTCGGATTCAGCGACCCAGAAAACATGTAGTAGACCTACGAGTAGTGCGACCTTCAGATTCAAGAAACATTTTTTTTTGTGTGACTGTGTAATCGTCTTTGTAGCTAAAGGTTTAGTTGGGGAAACACGATTCCTTTTTATAGGCAACTTTAATTGTTTAAGACATACACTAGGCACAGAAATTAAGGGATATTAAAAAAATCCCAAAATTTTGGGTGATTTTCAAAGAGCTGTAACTTGAAGGGAAATGGTCGTAGTGAGAATAGAAAAACGAAATTGAAGCTTCAAGTGTCTAGTTTTCGGATCTGGAGTTTAAAATTTTTAGCGCCAGCAGTTTTTGAGTAATCATAAGAAAATCAACGAAAAAAAAAATTGCAAATTTTTTTCTCTTCTTTAAAAAGGCTTATGGACTTAATTTCACCATAAAGCTCTTTAAGATAATTAAATTATCTTCAATATTTGAACGGTTCCGGAGTCTTGTACGTAAAACATACGAGAAATTTTCTTCACGCCAACAACGTGGTAACTCTCAACCACCTGTGAGTCCCGACTTGAACCACATTGGGCATGTTTAGGACATGCTCGGGCGTCGATGACGACGAGACTATCTCTGCGACAAATCATCGTACAAGGCTCCGGAATCGTTCAAATTGAAGACAATTAAATTATCTAAAAGAGCTTCATGGTGAAGTTATCAAAAAAAAAATTTGTTTAAAGAAAAGCAAAACTTTGCAATTTTTTTTTCGTTGATTTTCTTGATTACTCAAAAACTGCTGACGCTAAAAAATTTTAAAGTCCAGATCCGAAAACTAAGCACTTGAAGCTTCAATTTCCTTTTTTTATTCTCTCTACAACTACTTCCCTCCAAGTTACAGCTCTTTGAAAATCACTCAGAATTTTGGGATTTTTTTAATATCCCTTAATTTCTGTGCCTAGTGTATTTACATGTGGATTTAATTTGCTTTAATGTACGTCTGACCAGATTTATTTACATACACACTAAAAAATACTTAAACCATATATATTTCTTATTATAGTCAATTAATCACACTATATAGGTATACAGCGTGGTAAAAAAGTTCTGCATAAAATTCATATTTTCGTTAAACAATTTTTTTTCGAAAAAGGGTGAGATCCGTCGATTTTTATTTGATCCAGGGCACCTTGTTATGTGGAAAATTTTTTTTTCGATAATCCACTTACGGCAGCGATTTTTTTTTAAATGACAACGCATATTTTTTTCGTTCGAAATTGATGACAGTGATAATTATCTAAACAACGGTGTGAAAATTTCGATGTCTTACATAACAATTTTTTTTAGAAAAATGCACCTTAAGTTCTTATAAGTGATAATTGTCTACTTACACTATTAATGGCTCCGAAAAGGACAAAGTTGACAAAATTACATTTCAAACGAGTAAAATTACACTAATGTTTGTGTAAGTCTAGCGAAATTGTTCGAATTGCCCACCCTGTACCATTTGGCATTGTCCTAAGCGTGTGTAAACGCCGTCTACACTTCGTTCAAGCATTCCCGGGTCGATTTGATTTATTTCAAAACGAATACGGTTTTTAAGTTCTTCCAAATCACCTGGTCTGTTTGTGTACACACGCGATTTCAAATAGCCCCACAAAAAAAAGTCTAGAGGTGTTAAATCAGGCGAACGCGGAGGCCACTCGATTGTTCCGCGTCGCCCGATCCACCGGCCAGTAAACGTGTTATTCAAGTACTCCCGTACTTGCACTCCATAATGGGGCGGTGCACCATCCTGCTGAAACCAAATTCTTTCCTCAGGAATATCAGGATCCTCGTTGTTCGGGAATAACTCTGCTAAGCTTGGGACCAAATCGAACCGCAGGAAATCCAAATAGCGAGCAGCAGTTAAATTTTCCTCGAAAAAATACGGGCCTAAAATACGACGCCCTATTATTCCCGCCCAAACGTTCACCTTTCGGGGGTGCTGATGATCTACTTCTTGCACCCAGTGCGGGTTTTCCTGAGACCAATACCGGCAGTTATGTCGATGCACCGATCCATTAAGATAAAAAGTAGCCTCGTCAGAAAAAATTATGTTCTTGAGGAAGTCGGGGTCTCCGTTACATCGATGCATTAAATCTTCACAAAAGTGGAGACGGCGGTCTGGGTCGTCCTCAGTCAATGCATGTATCAAGTGACCCTTATAGGGGTGAAATTTCTCTTTTTTGAGAAAGTTCACCACAGTTACATGTGAAATATCATTGTTCAATGCAATCGACCTTGTACTAGAATGAGGGTTGTCCTGGAGCTCCACCAGGATATTCAATCTAGTTTCATCATCTACTCTAGGACGACCCGCACGAGGAGCATCTTTCACACTACCAGTTTCCTCAAACCTTGCCAGTACCCTACTAACCGTAGATTGCGTAATTGGTGGTCTGTCAGGGTACGTTGCATTAAATAATTGGCAAGCTTCTTGATGGGTTCGTAACTTATCGCCGAAACCAATCATCCTCAAAATATCAATTCTTTCGCGTTCACTAAGTTTTGCCATTTCGAATTAAACGATTTCACCAAAGAATGTTAAATCGGTACTGATTTTTAGTCTTCAATATTTCAGGTAATCTACTCCTTTCAAGTAAACATTTCTTTGGATCTTTTTTTTTTGAGGAATTTATCGGCAAACTCGAAGACAAAAAGTCGACCTTAATTTGCTACATACTATTTGGATTTTGTGCGGTTGAACTTGGTTCTAAATTTTGCAGTTTAATCAGGATCCTGACAATATCTGATGAATAATTCCGCAAATATTACATAACACCAGTTGCAACTTAAGTTATCTGAAATGCTTTCTGCCGAATAAATTTTTTTCTAAGGCATTTGATCCGTAAACAGCAAATTATTGCATTCAAGAACTTAAGGTGCATTTTTCTAAAAAAAATTGTTATGTAAGACATCGAAATTTTCACACCGTTGTTTAGATAATTATCACTGTCATCAATTTCGAACGAAAAAAATATGCGTTGTCATTTAAAAAAAAATTATGTCATCGCTGCCGTAAGTGGATTATCGAAAAAAACATTTTTTCCACATAACAAGGTGCCCTGGATCAAATAAAAATCGACGGGTCTCACCGTTTTTCGAAAAAAAAATTGTTTGACGAAAATATGAATTTTATGCAGAACTTTTTTACCACGCTGTATATATGGTAAATTGGATAAATAAACAATAATTTTTTATTCTGTCGATCATTTATTGCAAATAAGTACCTACGTAAATAACAATAAAAAAATATGTAGTACATATGTAAATTGTTAATTATTATCATACTTAAGTGTTACCAGTCGATTTTTCGTAAAATTCATATCCTGATAAACTTAAATCTGAAACAAAAAAACTAACAATAATTTTCTCAACAAGTATCTATGTTTATGTAAGTACACAGTAATAATAATATTTTAATTTATCCCACAATATTTCCCACATTGTAATTATTATTTGGGACAAAAGAAATAAAAATGTGATTTTTATCTAATTATTTAAATCCATATGAACGGAATAGGAAATCATAATGTTATTATGACAAGGATCAATAATGTATAAAATTAATAATGAAGTATAAAAAATAAAGTACGATTATTTTCTGAGAGACCTCATAGTTATCTAATTATTACTCAATTATTTTTTGATGTTTTCATAAGTCTTGTATATATTTCTTTATATAATTAGAATCACTGAAATTTCACTATTATTAGGTATTTTATTATTAAATTGACAAATGTTCCTTCTTCATTAAGTGAATGTAGATACCTATATGTGAAATAACCAATTATAATTAGTGTACCTATGTATATACCATTATCACGGTAACTATCATTAGGTATAAGACGGTAATTAGTATGACTAGCTGTACTGGTAGTTTTTTTTTTTTTTCATTGAAATTATATCTAATAACCTGTCACTTCAATGAAATTAGCTACTACTTCCACTACTCCTCTCTCACACTTAAATTCGAATTTATTTATATTCCATTAAATTTTTATTATATTTATATAAACACACTTGAAAAAGGTATGAGATTACCTAATTGTGAATGAAACATAAGCATGTCTTGAGTGCTTAAGAAAGTGTCTAAGTAATACTTACTTAAGTATTACTTAGTATTTAAGTAAAAATATACAATGTATCTAAAGTTACACTTATTAATTGTAAAATGACAGTGAGTTTTTAAGGAATTTGTAGGCCTACTTAGTTACGTATATTTAGTTTACTTTATGCTTAGTAGAGTTCGTTGCTTACTGCATCGATAAAGTCTCCGAAAGCTTATTTAATTTTTAAAATAACGAATGTTTCAAATACCTTGTCACCCATAACGGTGTCATTTTGTCACATTATTTTTTAATGCTATTTATATTCACAAGGTTACCTATAGCGAAAAAGAAGAACGTATACACAAATAACATATTAATTAGGTAGTAGGTAAGTATATCTGTCTAGACATAGACTTTATTGTGAACAATTGTTTATGTATTCCGCTCTCCGTTGCTTTACTTTACTTTTACCTTTAACCGATTAAAAGGTAAGATGGTAGGTATAGTGCTTAAGATGTCATAGGTACTTAAATATATCATCTACTAACCTTGCCGTATTTTTCTTTGATGCATTACGTTTAGCCACCTAGTTGACTTGAGGTTTTCACAGGTTCCATTAAAATATACAGGCAAAAAGTCTCGTCCAATATTTTTTGTCAAATAGTCATAATTATCTCCGCATATATGAATCTGTAAAATGAAATTTCAAATAATTATTACTCTAACCTGAATCTTAAGTTAGTTTTATCCAATTTTAGGCGAGCGGTTCACCCCTTAATAAAGGGCATGAATCGACTAAATTTTTAAAACAAAAACATACAGCATGAAACTTTTTTTGTTTTATAAAGTGTATTTTTTTGATAGTTTACATATTTTTTTTTTATATCTTTCGGCGTGGTCAGTCAATTGTTATAAACAAAAAAGCTGTAAAAAAAATTACTCGCCGAATGGCTTTGAAAATAGTTTTTGTTTGTAAAATGGACCAAAATAAACACACTTTGTCCCTTGACAAAAATTCGAAAAATGCTTCGTTTCCGAGATATTTACAATTTAATGTGAAAAAAGTGATGAAATCGACAAACTCCCGGAATATTTTTCTCAAAAACGGCAAATCGGCAGATCTTCTACTTTAAGACATATTTTTTTGGTATGGATCAATTATTTTATTGAAGGTCTAAAGCAAGTAAAAAAACAGTCTACAAATAGTGAAATTGTAACTCTTGATCCATTGACACATGGATGGAAAATCGAAAATGGTTGTTTGGATTTTCATTATTTCGAAGGAGAAACTGCGTTAGATATGTTTCAAAAATATTTTTGTTCAAGTAGTGGAAAATTGTAACTGTTTGTCATCGAACCTGGAATGCTGTGCAGTCTGTGCGTGCTCAGGTGAATGTCAGAATGTTCCATGTTTAGTTTTGGTATAACTTTCAAGTCAATTTTAGGTATTTATAAAACCAAAAATCGAATATTTAAATTTTACTAATTACTTGCAAAAACCTTACTCCGGCTACAAAACCAAACAAAATGATCTTTTGAACATTTGTACTATTAACATATATCGATTTAAAAAAATCATAATAAAGTTTATTGTAAATATAATCTAATCCAAGATATTGTAAAAAGAAAATTTTAAATTGAAGTGTTATCATAATTTTCGTTGAAAGACTTTTTTTACTCGCTTTAGACCTTCAATAAAATGATTGACCCATACCAAAAAAATATATCTTATGCTTCTTTAGAATTAAAATCAGTTCAGTAGTTTTTGAGAAAAAAATTCCGAAACTCTGTCGATTTCGTCACTTTTTTCACATTAAATTATAAATATCTCGGTAACGAAGTATTTTTCGAGTTTTTGTCAAAGAACAAAAAGTGTTTATTTTGGTCCATTTTACAATGGATAAAAAACTGTTTTCAAAGCCATTCGGCGAGTAATTCTTTTTTACAACTTTTTTGTTTTTAAGAATTGACTGACCACGCCGAAAAATATAAAAAGAAAATGTAAATTATCAGAAAAAAACACTTATAAAATAAAAAAAAGTTTCATGCTGTAGGTTTTTGTTTTAAAAATTTAGTCGGTTACCTTCATTTAGAAGCATCATTTTAGGAATGACCGCTCGCCTATTTCATTTAGGTCTTACTAATAACTTTATTGTGATGTTATATTAAGCAACAGATTTATACTAAAAAGGATATACTTATTATAGTGTACTTTACTTATATAATCACTGTGGCGTTAAAATAACCAATGATCTAGTGTGCAATTTTACATAAATTTTTTATCAATGTAAGTATCAAGAAAATTTCGATGCAGTTATAGCTATAGCTTAATCAGTATTCCATATACATTGTTAGGTACGTAATTATTAACGGTATCTATTTTTTTTATTTTGGTCTTTAATTCTACTTACAATTTTCTTCATACGTTCTTCTACAAATGGTTTGTATAACGCGTAGCCGAGGTAGAATATTATTTTGGGTTGCCTAACCACATATATGTGTAACAACTCCATCGGTAAACATTCCTGAAAATAAAAAGAAAGTTAATTTCACTCTTTTTTTCCTATGTGTCGATATATTTAAATATACCTACCTACTTATAGGAATTCAGCATCAACTGAGTAATTTTTTATCTTTACTTACAGACATGAAGAATACCATTCGCTTGGCAAATTTCATAGAAAGGCCATTCAGATGTTTCAGGGAAAAGCTATGCATATCCATAATGACATCAATAAATTTTATTTCCTTCATCTTTGCATACACCAACTCGCAGAGAAGAGCTGAAACCTAAATATTAAATATATTAAAGCCCAGATGAAATCACTGGAAGAGATCACTAGAAAATAATTACAGGCAATGGCATTTAAATCTGCAGAATCTATAAACTTAAATTAAATTAAAAAAAAATATAGTATAACAGCAAAGAGGACAAGAAAATGGGTTTTTACTATCTTGCTAGTAGGATTACTATATTAAAAATAATTTGTTGTATTTTCTAGTCAGTAGTAAAGGATCATTTACTTTTCTCACATACAGAATATCCCAGAAATAAATTTTAACCATAATTTTAATTAATCTAAAACAACAATGTCTATTTGTGTATGAGTGTATTTTTTCGAAAAACCCCTAGTTTTTAAATTATTGTTACCCGCTATTGAAGCATAAAACGAAACGCTTAATGGATTAAGGGCCCCATATTCTTTAAATAGTGTTTTCCGCAAAGACAAATAATTTCAAACATTTAATAACTGAATAATCTAAAGCTTATCAAATAATAGGAATGTTATGTCATGCCACCTGAGTATTTTCAAAGACGGCGCAGTAAAACGAATAAACAGGTGCAAAAAACGATCAAACCATCAAGGTTTTAGGTACCGAAATCTAGGAAAATACTAACTTTTTTATATATAACTCCACATATAAATATTCTTATAACATTTACTTGTTTAGTCCTACATATAAAATTGTTTACTTTTATTTATAAGTACGTGAAAATAAATCTTAAAGTGTGGGGTTAGGATAACAGAAAACGCATGTTTTACAAACGCTTTTTTTTTAGTTATTATTTTATTTGGGTAAATTTAAATGGTAACAATGAATAAACAAAACATCAAGGATTTTATTTTTGTGCTTACTTTTGTTCTACACGTTTTACTTTTCAAGATTTCAGTACCTAAAAATGCCAGAAATTTCACCATTTCTCGGCCAGGGATATGGCCACCTTAAATAATAAACAAAAAGATGCGGAATTAATTCGGTAACTTTTGAAAAATAAAAATATTTGTTATAAACTAAGTTAAAAATGATCAAAAGTAAAAAACTACAACTTTCTACTCATCAAAAAAAAATAAACGTGGTAAGTTATAAATAAAAGTGGCTCGGATTGAATTCTAGCGATCGGGTGGACCATGCAACTATACTATTTCGGCCAATTCATCATCGAGAAAAATGCTGACTTAACCAATCTCGAATGATTGGAGCGTTATGGTAAGGAGCACCATCATCAAACCACAAGTTTCGAAGAACTTGCAGTGGAACATCATCCAAAAATACCTCCGTCCATCTAACGGATCTGGTATAACGTAATGTCCAATGAGGCATTCTTTACTATTTCCACCCAAAAATCATGTTACAAAAATGTTGACAATAATCCTGATGCTGTAAGCTTTTTGACAAAATAGATTGTTGTTAGTTCAGTTTCAAAAGATCTGTGATCCGGAAGTCTAAACGATACGATGCGCCTATTTGGTATAAAACGATTTAGGAAATGATCCTTAGATATAAATCTTATAAGAGTTCTCATGTGTCTCGGCGTAAACTAACATCATATCAACGTATTCACCGTGTGTAAAACTCAACATGATGCACAATCACAGCTGTTAATATGTCGTTGCATTTTTTGCATTTTACATTGAATCTAGTAAAAAACTTTAAGGTAGTGATTTCGAAAAAAAAAAATAGATAAATGTTGTTGTTTTTGAAGAGTTGTGGTCTAAATATTTGCATTATATCTGGGATACCTTGTATATTTAATGGCTTGTTTTAACCTCTTTTATTATTCACTAAAATTGCGCGTGCTCAACATTATTCGCGATGGAACATGAAGAGTTACTAATTTATACCTTTAGAATTTCATCAGCACTGAAGACCTCAGGATCCCATTTCTCTAAGCGTATCCAGACAATCGTTTGTCCGTGACGTCCAACTTCATCCAGCACGTCTATAATTTGAGACTCGAGGATATTTTCTACTAAACCTTTTTCTAATTTTAACCAATTATCTTGTCTTCTCTCTATGAAACTTTGAAAGTTGCGAATCTGTACAAAATATGTAATCACAAAAGTTGCTTATGATGAAAAATTGTTAATGAGGTAGGTAAAAATGTAAAATAAATGTGATATAAGCTGAAACCACAAACCAAATAATGACCCAAAATTCACTCTAGAAGAAATTTTGATAGAAATCATAGGTTTTAAATCGTAAAATCGCATTATCATTAAATCGCATGATCTGGGAGGATCACCAAAATGAGAAATTACAAGCTCAGGAAATGACTGATGCAGTAAATTGAATTGTTTCTCGGGCATGTGCCACCGTCTGTTGAAACCACATGTCGTCTATACCTTACTATTCAGGCATCATCGATTGTTATTGCCTGACCAACTGCATTTGCAGGAATTTTAGACTGTACCAGTTACTAAATTTTCAACTGAAGTAAATATATTTTTCGATTAAATTGGTCTATGTCGTACCCATATTCAAAAGTCAACCTCTTTTGGAATATAGCTCTGTGAAAATATATTTTATATATCCCAATAAACATTGATTTTTTAATAGATGTAGGTTTGTCATAATTGCAAAAAATATATGAATTAGAAGAGAGTGAAGTTTAATTGCATTATAATATGTCCATAATTGATAACTATCATTTTTTTTAAACGATACATTTCAGGGACATTTTTACATTAAATAAAATGAGGTTTGTTACAATATCTCCCCTTTCTCATCATCTCATCCAAAAAAAAAATAATGACAAAAACAAAAGACTCTTTCAGGTATTCCTGTTTAATTGATTTAAATAAAAATTTAGGTCATATTCGATTTCGATAAAAAAATTAATTTTGTTTTTTTCTGTATTATTTTATTTATTTTGATGTTTCCACACGAATCTCCGTAATTGTCAATTGTGTTACGGCGGGCGGTAATGTACCTACACTTAAACTAGTGCTTGTAACTTTATTTACAGCACGGGTAAAAGTTATTACACACTGTCCTTTAGATTAGAACAGAAAGAAGCAACTACATAATAATATGTGCATGCCTAATAGTCCATATTGTAGACAGAAATACAATAAAATTTTCAACGTTGGGTGAAAGTTTCATTTTTAGTTTTTTAATTATGTACAGCTGATTAAGTATTAAGAAATGTAGGTACTTCTTTTAATTTAATTTTTAAATGTAAAATAATTTGATAAAAGTTACCTAAAGTAACCACTTACTGCTTTAAGGGCTGCACAAACATCATAACGATGGCCAACTAAAAACCTTCGCAAGAAATCGTCATCTAGCCTTCTGATGTTATTCTCTAAAACACAACTAATAAGAAATTTTCACTCGACAACCCTAATCTATGACAACCTGTGGCAAGTTTCCTGAATTCGCAAAGGATTTTACCACCACTTTCTACATTTTCCATAATACATTCAAATAAACTTAAATACTAACGAAAAGTGCTGATACGACTGCAACTGAGCAAGAACATCGAGTTTGTTTATTTTTTGCAATGCAATATATATTATTTACAATATGCACAAGATTGAAAATGTTTATGTAATCGCTTGGATCGTGACTTTAAATCACAATATAAAATAGTTTTAGTGTTATTTTGTTCAGAAATCCAAGTCGTTGCTGTAAGCGAACAAGCAAATGTTAACTTTGGTTTGATGTGTGAATTATACGAGGTCTGTGCAGAAAATAACCGAACATTTAAACTATATTATTAATTTGATACAGTATTGCTCCTTGTATTTTTCAAAGTACTCCCCTCCATTATTTCGACTTTAACCAGCGCAGCGATGTTTACATTTCGCGAAGCAGTCCCGGATAGTCTCATTTGAAATAGCCTTCAAAGTCTGTGACGAATTTGCTTTGACGTCATCAATAGTTTGAAAACGGCGTATTTTCAGCATAGATTTTAATTTCGGAAATTAGCAAAATTCGCAAGAAACTAGGTCTGGAGAGTAAGGAGGGTGCGAGAAGATAGCAATCTGATTTTTGATACAAAACTGACGAATTGACAAAGCTGAATCATGGTGCAAAAACCATGAGTCGTCTGGCTACAACTCTGGTCTGTTTCCATGAAAGTTTTCTCCTGGTTCATGCAAAATTTTACGTTACATCTTTGTTCAAGAAAGTCGCGCATTTCAAGAATCGTCACTAACACTTAAACACAGTGCACTCAAGTAATAATATCGTAGAGAAATCAACAATCCAAGAATATATGGTTATAGAGGAGGTTATGGAGAGAAAATTTGATTCACAAGCACAAATAAGACGTATTTTTGTTAAATATGATTTTATACAAAATTGACTTGATAAGTATATGTCAAAACATGTGTATATTTCTTATATCAATTCTTGTGGAATTATAAAGTAAGATTAGAAGTATGTTATTTTTTGTCAAGACAAAAATACCACATATCTCCAGATATGTATAATCTAATAAAATCTAATTATGCCCTTCCCTAAGAATATAGCAAATTACATAAATAGTTTTCGTTCTTTTGTTTTAGAACGTTATTAATGCTCTGCTTAGCTAACCGACCGTGACATAATACTTACAGTTTAATTTTACTTGTCGGAAATAAAACAGTTCATATTTTAAGGTTTTCAACCAAAATAAAAATCAGTTCTATATCTCATTGTTGAATCTATGCTTAACAACAATATTACTACGAAATTTAAATGTGTAGGTAAATAAATGTTATATAATATTTAAAATGAAAAATAAGGACGTTTATTAATTTTCTCTATGGTATAGTAAATATCTATTTCATATACAAACTCGAACCAGGTTTTCAGATTTATTTGCTTGTTTTTTTTTTCAATTGTTTTTTGATAGATTGCGAATTTCGACCACTATTTTCTTAGAATCTGTCTGAAGTATGAGTCTAAGGAATATGATTTTTGAAATTTTTCTATTATAACTAAAACATATATCATATTTAGTTTATAACGTAACCAATTAAAAACACACACTCCTTTAATTTTTTTTTGTGTACGACTCGAATAAGTTTTTTTTACAGATATAGTAGCCTTATAGACGTAGTTACTGAACCAATTTAGATTGTTCAGTAAGTAATCCAAGGTCTGCTGTGATTTTAGAACCAATGTTACGAAAAACCAATTTAAGATTTTTACTTCCAGGGTCTGTCTAAAATTGCGAAAATATCTTGTAAGTAGACTATATTACTTCCCAATCGTAATTAGTAACGTCAGTAATTGGTACACTATCTTCAGATAGCTCCAATGTCTCCTAGACTTTTACTTCTGAACAGAAACGTAATAAAATTAAAGTTTTAAGTACATATGCGCAAAAATTATTCTGCATTATAAATTGATGAAGTTTCAGATAAAGTAATTTCAAGGAAGATAGTAGCCAGATTTTTAATAAAGAATCGTAACAGATCGTGACCTACATCACCATAGGATTAAGAAAATGAATGTTTCTATTAAAAGTATTAGAACAAAACAAATAATATATTTAGGATATCAATGCAAAGAGTAAAAACAGTTGTGACTTCACCTGAAAACTATATTATTTCAATAAAAAATATTTATAAAATCTTATAAAATGGACTAGAACACCAGGCACAAGAATAATTTCCTAAGTTTAACTATCACTTCTCCTCTTCTCTATCTTCTTTCAACCTCTCCATGTCATCGTATCCTAAATCGACAAGGTTCTGAATGATGCGATCGTCATGTTTCACCCAGTCCTCGAACCAGATATCAACAGGATAATCAATATGGACACCTCCGTATCTCTTGGGCAAATGTTTGGGATCTACGTGTGAGTGCAAACTTTCCAAGTCGTCCCCGTGGAATACGATCCTGTCCTTAACCCCTTCATTTATAAGTGGCTGGATGAAGTTGTAAGCTATTTCGAATACCCAGGATTGGTACAGTATGTGGATGCCCTCTATTCGTATTGGCATACTCGTCTGAAATGAATAAAAACAAATGTATTTGTACGAAGATTATATCTAATTACAATAATATTTGGACTCGTATTAGCGCAAATACATAAAAAATACTACAAAATAAAACAAAATAGTTCAAAACAGCTTTGGAATTCATAATAATTTCAAGACATGTTAATGAATAAAAAAAAGTTTAATAATTCATCAAAGTTCCTCGAATCGGTTTTACAATTCTTCAATAAATACCGAAACATTTCTATAAAATATGTTAGAAAGCAATAAAATTAATCAAAACAGTTTTTAAACACAACAAGAATCATCAAAGCACCCTTGGACTGCATAGAAATTCTTTAAATGAGTAGAAAAATACAGGAAAATATACACAATCATATTCAAAATATATTAAAAACTCAAAATACACTCTTAGGAATGCGTTGGAAACTTCCAAATACTTCAAAATAACTCAAAGTCACCTCATAGTGGATCCATCTCCATATAACCTGGGCCGAGAACAACAAGGGCATATCAAAGATTCTTGGTTAAGGAAATGCGATGCAAGTCTGTAATTGGCGGTGACCAGGTGCAAAGGTCAAAACAATTCGCAAAACTATCGTACCTACTATAAATATCAGAAAGGTCATAAAAACCTTATAATTACTATTAAAAAGGATTATGCAAGACATTTACGTTTATTGTGCATTCTTTAATCTAAAATGTTTTCATATAAAAGCATTAAAATTAAAAGTTAGGATTTAGTTCTGTTAATACAAATCTTTTAAGCATGACGACTGTTTTTTAGTACAATATAAGTAATGTTAAAAAAAGAAATTAAGTACTTTTCTTAAAAAACTACAAGGTATTTAAAATATATCAACTATCTGGTTTGAATTCAGGTTAAATCATGTCTTTGAAAATCGAATTAAACTGTGAATCTCTAATTAATGAAAAAAATCGAATTAAACTGTGAATCTCTAATTACTGAAACTTTGTCTTTATTATTATGTTTATTTGTTTCTTCATTTGAAGTAAATTTAAAATTTAAGCGCAGAATTGACAACGCAATTTTAATGCCTTGTTATAATTTGTAATGATACACTAATGAAAAAGAGTATGGCTGATTTAGGAGTTGCTGGTATTTCTCTACTATCGAAAGGTAAAATTTTGAACCATATTCAACATAAACTTTGGTAATAAATTTGACATAGGTATATAAATTCAATGATAAAATTGAATTCAATCCTCATCTAAATTCATTATTTACGTATACAGCGTATTTCAGGATGAACTATACATACCTACTATACTGACAGAGCAAGGCAATCTAAGTTAATGGCCACTTAAAAAAAAGTCCTGTGTAAAAAATTGTGAATAAGTGATTTTTTAATTTTCTTTAAAATTTTTGTTTCTACAGATTTGGAAAAATTTGTTGCAATATTAATTACCATATACCACTAGCAGCTGAGGATAAAATTACAAAATATCAGGGCCGTCCTGGGAACATTTCTGTTCCTTTGTGGCCCCTCCAAAAAGTCCACTCTGTATACTTTTCCTGCTTTTTCTTAGCAAAACCTATGCTCTGATTTTCTCGCCACAATTCCTCAATTTGAATTGAAAATTAAATTTTGGTAAAACTTTTTAATCAGCTTTTCAAAATTATTTCAATAGTGAAAATGGTTAGAAATAATATTTTCATATTTCCGTTCTTTATTAAAAATAATTACCTATTATACATTACAGAATTAAAATTTTCAGATTTTGAAAAATTTTTATTCACTTGTCACATCTGTAAAATTTCCCTTGTAAATGATTATACTATTTTATAATATAATATATTGAAAATGAGTGATAAAAATTGTGCATTTTATTTCTTAAATGGTATTAACAATTTTTTTAATCAGCTTTCAATATAATTTTAGCAATATTTTTTTAGAAATGATACCTAACAGAAAAACGACATTTTGTTAATACTTCATTTAAACATATTTTTGGAGATGATAACCATTTTCTTCAACATGTAACTTACTTAGGAAACACCATGTATAGCTAACTATAATAATCAATACAACCAACTTTTGATTCAGATATAGATTAATTAATCAGCATTGTTTATAATTATATATATTCGATGAAATCAAATTTCAAACCAAATCAATTTTTTAAGTATTTTTTATTTTGTAACGTTGCATTTAGTAATAATTAACTTTATTACATAATTACATTTACAGCTACGCATTAAAGTTGAAGAAGCTATTATTAACTTCATTCGTGGGTGGACAGAATTTAAATAATTATCTTTTATTATATATTGTTTATATATTAATTATTATTAATAAAAATAAAAAAGGACGTTTATAATAAATAACTATTTAAAGATAATTAAAAACAGTATTTGCAGCTTTTTATAAGTAAGTTATTAGTGAAAAACGATTTTTTTTTTGTTGATATTTATACATTTTGTCTAATCTATTGTAAATAAAAAATAATCATAAGCAGATAATTATTATAATAAATTGTGTCGTTTTTATAACGCTATAAAAACTAAATTGTTTATTTTTGGTAAACTAGTACTCACCAGAGCGACTTGGATAATATGATTTGCAATAGTCGGGGTCATGTACCACGCTTGACTGATGGACAACTCGCTGAGGTCAAATATCATTACGCCACCTTTTATCTGGAACTGGGGCTCCATTAAAGCCACCTCTAGGATTCCTATGGTCAGTTGAAACAGTTCGTCTGTTGTGAACTCTGAAGGTTTCCAAATTCCTAAAAAGTTAACCTCAAAAGTGGGACATGTTTTTGCAAGAGTTACACTGTTGCAAGCCGAATTACAACAAGAAACTACTTTATTGGTAGATATTAAATACCTAATAGAAAAATATACATATTTTGACATCTCGATTAACTACAATGCACCGTCTGGTTGAATATTTATACATATATACTGAATTATCTATTTTAAAGTGTCTGCCTCTAATCTGAAGCTTCGCATCGATCAATTTATTCGATACATATCTAGTTGCACTCTAATGCCTGCCCTACCGGGCTGGCACGCCGCTGAAAAATCTAGAGACGTTGGTCGTGCATTTCATTGTCGTTTGTGGCTGAGTTTGACGCTTTGCTTGGTCGAATGTATGATACATGTTTTTATGCCAGTCAGTAGCATTGTGTATTTCCGATGTTTTATGGTTACATTGACATGATTTCTGTGATGGTTTCAATTTGAGTTGGTAATTCCTAAAACGTGTACACTCTTTTGTAATTTTTTTATATGTTCCCATAGGTAAAAATCGAAATGATATGAATCATTTGATCATATTCATCTATCAGGGAATAGAATTAATATAATTACGAATTTCAGCGTATCTCTAAAAGGTCTGGACAAAATTTCTACCACATATTTATGGGTCCAAAACATGATGATCTAATCTGTCACTTTAGTTCACAATTGGTAACTTCCGAGATACAGAGTGTTAAAATTACAATTATATTTTAGATTTTCTTCAGAAAATTCATTATTAATTGTAGTAAATTCATAAAATTTGGTATAGGGGAGTTTTCTGGCATGAAAAATTGATATCAGGTCCCGAATTTACTGTAAATTGGTAGATGACACCACCCGTAATACTTTACATGCATTTAAATTGTCATAACTTTTTTGTTGCCTTGTGTATTGAATTTATAATCAAAAATTGGTTATAACTTTTTTAGAATTTGTCGAGAACTTTTAGGGACAGAGATATTTAGTAAAAAACGTAAAAGTATTTTAAACCCGTTAATATGTCCTGAAATTGACAGGTCTACATTGTCGTAATTATCCAGCATCTCAGGTTCGTTTCATAAGATAAACAAATCTCTGCTGGGCGGACTAGAACCTTATCGAAAAACATTCGACGCGATGACTCGTGGCGTTTTGCTGTCATTCACTGTAGATTAATGTATATACTAACTCTATCTCTGTATTTCAAAAAATTTCTTGTAAATATAGACTAATGGACAGTGATTTATTTTATTTAAGATGCGCTTGCCTTAAAAATGATAAAAAATATGTCCTGAGAAGTTTATTTTATACTCAACATAAAATTTAGGAACCATTTGTACAGGAGTATAAATACAATTTTTAATGCGCCCTGCATATTAGGTATTATAAAAGAAAACATAACTCTTCAGAGATTGTCGGTCAATTTGTTTTAGCGCTCCCATAGACTATGAGAATGATAATTACTATGACATATTGATCTTATTTTATCAACGTGTTATGTATTCTCATGTCTTTGTCTTCTGTAGCGGAATTATTATTTTAAAGTGCAATGCCTGCAACACCATTCTGCATTAAAGTGAACGACCTAATTCATTACAAGATACGTGTTTGCAGACATACAGGAAATCAAGTTTACTGCCTTATCAATTTTGATGAATGGCAAAATGTATAAATTATATTGAATTGTGAACTTGTAATTATAAAATTGTTACCTATATACATAACTGAATACCAAATACACCTACAGATTATAATATATATTATGCCATAAATTATATAAATATTTTATAAATCTAAGCTTATCTTGTACTAGTTTGTACGTTTTAAAATCAAGTTGGAAAGACGACTATTTTATAAATTGATTATTTGACTGGACGCTGAAAAATATTTCTTAAGCTCCACGAAGTTCTAAAGTTAGATGACTTTTTGGATATTTTGACAAAATAAGTTATACATTCTTTTTGTACCCTTTAAATAAAATTGTCCTTCTTGCAACAAAAATTAAGTAATTATAAATGTGGGCATTATATGATACAAATACATTAATCATGTTGTTAAAAAATGTATATCACACTGCCAAGTTTCCCTTGCAAGTATACAGGGTGTGGTGCGTATAATCTATAAAAAATAAACTACAGCTTCCTAACTAGTAATAGAAAAGTCTTATACGAAAAAATTCTATCTTCGCGTTTTTTTTTTGTAAATTAAAGTTCATTTATTCAACGAAACTGAAGTCCGACCTTGTGTTATTTATTAAAAACTTTGGAAATGTTTTTATGCGACCCGAGATGCAACCTTATAATTTAAGTTGGTACAATCTAATACTAGTAATACTAAAAGAAGGTTAGGTTACATTGTCAAAAAATTTGTGCAGTCAATTGATTTTATATTTGTATTGAATTCATTATTCACTTAATTATTAAATATTAAGCATCGTCTATCGACCCATCACTGTTAAAAAGTGAAAGATTCCAGACAAAAATTTTTATTTTGTAATTCCACGATGACAGTGTAATTTTTATGAAGAAGTAAAAAATAAGAATAGCGTGCCGATTACATTAAAAACGAGATTCTTATTTCTTATTTTTCTTAAGTTTTTAGTTTGTGCACAAACTACTTTTACAGTGAACCGAGAAAACAATGCATTTACTATTTTCGAACGTGTCGATATGATTTTAGTGTATGGTGCAGCCGGAGAAAATGCGCTCGCGTCGACTAGGTTGTACCGGGAACGATGGCCACAACGTTACCCCCCATGTGCAAATAGAATCCTACAGTGCGTTCAGCGGCTGCGAGATACGGGAAGTGTTATTCCTCGAGGAGAAGGACGTGGTCAGCAAGTGAACATTAATGTTGAAGACGCAGTGTTGGAAAATATTGACGAAGACCCCACAATTAGTATTCGATGACTCGCACAGTAAGTAGGAACCTCATCTCGTACCGTACATCGCAGCTTAAGGCGCCAGCTGTTGCACCCCTATCATGTGCAACCAGTTCAACAGATTTTATCCCCGGATTGTGATCAACGAATGAGTTTCTGTAGATGTTTTTTACGGCAATGTACCAATCAAGTAGACTTTCCTGCTTATGTTTGTATAACAGATGAGGCGACATTTACCCATGATGAAGTGAATTTCCATAATATGCACATATGTGCCGATGAAAATCTTCAGGCGATTAGGGAAATTCATTTTCAACATCAGTTCTCGGTAAATGTTTGGGCTGGCATAATAGGCGATGTACTTGCATTTACTATTTCCGAACGTGTCGATATGGTGCAGTCGGAGAAAATGCGCTCGCGGCGACTAGGTTGTACCGGGAACGATTTCCACAACGTCACCCCCATGTGCAAATACAATCCTACAGTGCGTTCAGCGTCTGCGAGATATCGGAAGTGTTATTCCTCGATGAGAAAGACGTGGTCAGCAAGTGAACCTTAATGTTGAAGATGCAGTGTTGGAAAATCTTGACAAAGACCCCACAATTAGTACTCGACGACTCGCACAGCAAGTAGACACCTCATCTCGTACTGTACATCGTATCTTAAGACGCCAGCTGTTGCAGCTCTATCATCTGCAACCAGTTCAACAGATTTTATCCCCGGATTGTGATCAACGAGTGCGTTTTTGCAGATGGTTTTTACGGCAATATGCTATTCAAGTAGACTTTCCTGCTTATATTTGTGCAATAGATGAGGCGACATTTACCCGTGATGAAGTGAATTTCCATAATATATATGGGCCGATGAAAATCTTCACGCGATTAGGGAAACTCATTTTCAACATCGGTTCTCGGTAAATGTTTGGGCTGGCATAATAGGCGATGTACTTGTGGGTCCCTATTTCCTTGAAGAACGACTAAATGGACCAACATATGCTGACTTTTTGGAGAACCGGTTGCCTGAATTATTGGACGATGTGGCATTACAAGTTCGAGCACGCATGTTTTATCTTCAAGATGAGGCTCACCCACACAGTACTCGAGAAGTAACGACACTTTTGAATGAAATGTTTCCTCTGCGATGGATTGAACGCTTTGGACCTGTGCCGTGCCCACCTCGGTCACCCGATGGACTTTTTTATCTTTGGAGTCACTTGCAGTCATAGGTTTACAATACTCCAATTGCTACGGTGGAAGAATTGCGAAACTGTATACTTGAAGCTGCTGACACAATTAGGGGAATACCTGGAATTTGGGAAAATATTCGCCAAAATTGGGGGTGTCGCTGCCATACCTGTATCCGCGCTAATGGGGGTCAATTTCAACATTTTCTCTAGAAATGATAAGTTTTATTTCATTTTGTTCCATATTTTAATGGAGTTTGTTTAGTGCACGCAGTTGGCAACTACAGATGCTTACGGATGTGGTTTTGTTTGCGAACTTATGCAGTAACAACAATGCATTTAATATAGTAATTATTATTATTATAATAACAAAATATCAGTTTTTTTTTTAATATCTATTTTTCTTAATTTGTACATTTGCATTGAAAAATTCCCAAAAATTGAGAAGTATCTTTCCATCTTTCAACGACGATTTGTTTATGCGGCTGGTCTACAGCATGTAACTCATCGTACAGCACACGGACAGGACCCTTCCAAAAAAAATATTTTCATCCATAATTGAACTTTAATTTACGAAAAAAAAACGCAAAAATAGAACTTTTTCGTATAACACAATTTTATTACAAATATCGTTAGGAAGCTGTAGTTTACTTCTTAAAGATTATACACGCCACACCCTGTATTTAAGGCAAGGTGTAGCTATATCAGATCTCCTAATAGACATACATTTTTCATGATTTTTCATTTTAACCAAGCATTTATTAATTTAATAAAATTATACGTAGATATAATGTTGTAACACTATTAAACATAATAAATTGGAAAGTGAATTAGAGGGCAGTCTAGGTATAGGCATTTTTTTTGTTGCGCACTTGTTTAATATAAATTCTGTTTGACGTATATCCTTTCTTTAGTGTACATAAATATCGACAAACCATTACGATTAGCGCTAAATTTACGATAATATCATTTAGTACACCGTGTCCAGTTGATATTTTATGTGGTTTATTAAATTCTTCAAAAGTTTAATTATTTTTTTTCACATTCAGTTAATACTAACCCATTCTTTGTATCATAAGCCTCCTTCCTAATTGGTCCTTGTATGGCGGAACACTTATTATGTGGTTCCTGGCTAGTTCGCGTACTCGTTCTAGTTTTACTTCCTTAAAATATTGTGGGTTGGATTCCTTAAATTTATAATAATTTACCATCTGAAACAGAAATATAAATATTTATTCAATGATAAAAAAAATCAAGACAAAAATACATAAAAACCTGCAAGAGGATAAACTTTTAATTTGAAGAAGTTTCATTGATATTTTACAATTAAAATAATTTTCAGTAATTTACTTTTAACTTCAATAACTAATAAGTAATCATTAAATATTTTAAATTGTTTTAGATCATTTTTTGGTTTCATTATGATAAACTAAAATATTTGTAACTGGTTTACAATGTTTATGAGAGTGTTTTATTATTAAGAATCAGATTCAGTAAGAAAGGGATTGACTTTTTTAAGTCAACAAAAGTAATATTAAACAAGATACTTATACATCTTATGTAATTAACACGAGTAACATGAATTCACTCATCTTTCTACCTACCAGTCGGTGTGCTTTCCCAACGATGAAATGCCGTGCTCTCAAAAATTGCAGCAAAAAAGCATCGTCAGTCCTATGCGGAGTGCATTCCCCTTTTGCTGTAAGTAATAAGTAATAAGTATAAAACAAAATTGAACGAGCGATGCAAGCATTCATTAGTAGTTACATACAATTTGATAATAGCGGTGTTGTCTTTACCCGAGATCTCGGCTTTGAATGATCAATTAAATGAGATCTTAGGTAAATAAAACATAACGTTAATTAAAACACCATTGTTTTTTGCTCTTAAATTATAGTAATATAACAAAAAACATAAAAATATAATTTCTCAACTTTTAAGTGTGACTGATCTATTTAGACATTGAATATCATACCAAAAATCATATCCCTGAAGTCAGATACGATTTGATCACTTTTATCTGGATCTTCGTTAATATTATCCTTTGCCCATTCCATTAAATCTTCAGTTGGTTCTTCCAGATCAAGGGTAGCCTTCAGACGGTCCTTTTCTGCTTCCATGTTTGTACTGCAAAGAGAGTTATCAGTGTTATCACTTACTACAGGTTGTTGTTTTCCTACGTGCAATGATGACGTGCTTGTAAAAAGAAATAAAACATTTTCCGTGTTTTCAAACATCGACACTAGCATTATTGACTAAAAGCTTGAACACAAATTAAAGATTTAATTATTATTCCCTTTGTGATATTTACGTTATCTATACCTTCAGTTAGCAATTTTATGTTATTGTAAATGGATTTTGTATAGTTTCAAGGATGTTGGAAATAGAATTCCTAGATTTTATGTAGGTAATGATTGAAATGAATAATTCAAAATTGCTGCAGGCAATATATGCATTACTTATTGCAATAAGCATGTCTACTGATAAAGTAATCGTGATTATAACAATGAATGAATATTACTGTGTGAAAAATTGGCAGATTATTTGTTGTTTACAATTTTCTAATTCTTTAAAGACTAAATTTTGAAACTATGACAATTATCGTTTTATGCTATATTTATAATTATTACTGCAATTTTTCCAGGTGTAATGAATAAATTAGAGTCTTTTTTAATTCAATATAAAAGTGTTTTATTTTCTTTCCTACTAGTTTGACAATTATGCCATCATCAGAGAAAAAGAAAAATTACAATCATTGGAAAATAAATTGCTAATACTAATCGAACAATAAAATACATATTTTGAATATTTATTAACATCATTTTTAAATTTAGACCACTCATCTTCCACTTAACATAATCAAATACATTGTTATAAAAGTTACATATTAATAGCGTGAATAAATACAGCAATATATTTAATCCACCGAAACAAAGTATTTCGGCATTTAAAATTCAAATTACGCTATTTTTAAAATAAAACTGATTATCCTGAAATAAACGTGACAATGTCTATAATACATACATATAAGTAGTTCAATAAGTTACAAAAAATTTACCAGCAGAGCAGTAGGTACCTAACTAATAAATTCAGTGTACTTGAATTTGGTACAATCGGTTTTCAATTATTGGTAAAAAAGACTGTACCTATTTATAGGAAAGAAAATTATAAAATTCTTGTTCACGGTTTTTAAATAGTTAACTGTTAATTAGAAATGCCATTTAAAAAACTAATTAGCCGTATTCTGGGAAAAACACATTTATTGTTCATTGTTTTGCAGTGTACCTAAATGAGGCAGGATTTGAACATAAAATAAAATTAGGTTTCATACAAACACATATACAGGGTGTTTCAGAAAGACCTCCCGTATATACAGAGGGTGATACTACGATAAAAAAATAAGAATTTTTAGTCTTATGAACTATATTCGAGATTTTAAATAGAATTTTTACGAAAAATTTACAAACGGTGCGAAATATTTATATGAAATTTGTTCTTCCGGGGTTTTTAAGGACGTCAAATACGCTGGTCTAATTATTTTTTGGATATTTCATAGAGGGCGCTAGTTATGCTACATTCCTATTACATTTTATGTTCAATTTTTTTTTAAGGTTAGGTTTTTTACCATTCTGGTTCCATTTTCTAATGTATAATTTTATTTTCTAAAAATAATGTAGGTACTCTTGTTAGAACTTCCTAATGTGGACTGTTTTCGAGAAAAAAGGTTTTTAATTGAACTCTTACAATATTACGGTGTACAAAATAATCGACTTTTCTCAAAGTAGGCTTATGTCAAAAGTTATTGATGGATGTCTCATAAACAACGCATACATTCTTAGTAATATTTTAAACTTTAATTAACTTTATATTAAATTTTAGTGATTTTTATTGTAGTTAACTATTATTTTAAGTCCACATTAGGAAGTTCTAACAAGAGTACATTATTTTTAGAAAATAAAATTATACATTAGAAATTGGATCCCGAATGGTAAAAACCTAACCTTAAAAAAATTATAACTTATAATGTAGGTAATTGGAATATAGCATAACTAGCGCCCTCTATGAAATATCCAAAAAATAATTAGACAGTGTATTTGGCGTCCTTAAAAAAATTTGATATAAATATTTCGCACCGTTTGGAAATTTTCGTAAAAATTCTAGGTATTTAAAAAATTTTATTTTGCCGCTCGAAAACAAGAGGAGATAGATATATAGTTCATAAGACAAAAAATTCTAATTTTTTGTCGTACTACCCTGTATTTACGTTTACGTATACATTAAAGTTTGTCAAATGTTCTTGAATTACACTGATTAAGTTATAAAAGATAAAATAATAATATCTAATATTACCTACCGAAAAAAGTAAATAAAAATGATCGGATTAATTTCCTAGTTAACAAAGCTCTCTTTAAGACTCGAGGAATTTTAATATTTTTTTCCAAGCATTTAATACCTAAATATATTAAAGAAAAAAAATCATTTAAATGGAGAAATAATTTTCATAACAGAATTAATTAAAAACATTATATTGTGTTGAAGCATTTGCTTTTGTTTTTACTTTAAGCAAATGCTTATTTTATTTATGCAACAGTGAAATTAAAGCATTTTTTGTGATGCAATCTGCCGTTTCGATCATCACCTACTATGTTCAAATTGGAGCTTCTTAAGAGTGTCATAGGTAGTCATTATTTTTTCCTATTGTTTTTTATCAATATAGTTGTCAGTTGTTCCTTTACTTGAGTACCTAGTAAGGTCACGTTTTTTCTTAGTTTGGTATATTTGGTGCGTAAATAAGTATCATACGTTCTTGTTTTTTTTATACTTATTCGGATATTCCGGATATTCATCATCAATAAATTTAAAGCATATAATTACAATTACTTATTACCTGACAAATGCATGTTATTTCATAGGAATATTATGTTTCTCATAAGTATTACAAAACTTTGCTATACATACATTTATTTTATTTTAAATAAAGCTAAACGTTTTTGGTGTTATATTTTATAGAAAGATAGAAGTAAGACAATGGTTAGTGTCGAATTTCCTCCAAACCTGCTGAGACAAATTCATTTCACTAAAGCAATTTTATTATTAGAGGTAGGTACAAAATGGAATAAAATAATTTCAAAACTGTTGTAAATCACTTCAGTTTAGAATAATAAATTACATACCTATCGAAAATAGATGGTAATCCTTAACACTTTGTAACCAATAGTTAGATTGGGCGCGAGATGTGCGTTACAATAACAATAATCCGAAAATCGTAAACATCAGTCATTTAAATATTCGCAGTAACACGGCGAGAAGGTAGGTACATTAACAATGACTGCTGCTCTAAACTGCATAATGTATAATCTAACTTATCTCTTTATAAGTGTTTCTTAGTCACCATCTATTATTTGTATCTTTCTCTCTCTCCCACAGCTTGGTTGGAACAAAGGGATATTTTTTACAGAGTATTTTGTCAGTCAAATGGAATGACGAGAACGGATGGGGAATTCAGACAATTTTCAATACAAGATGAAAATGTTACTAAAAAAAGAAAAAAAAAAAAGAAAAGAATCTAAAGTCCAATATTTAGGTTAATAAAAGATATACCTAACTTAATTTTTTTTTCTACAGAGTTGCCTACTTTCCCGAGCTGCACAAAATGAAAATATATTTGCATATATAGGGTGTTCACTTTTCCCTCGGTTTTTCCTGGGCAGGTACCAACTTAATTTTTTTAAGTGGAAACCTATATTTTTTATGGCATTATCGAATTCTACGTGAAAAATTAACGGGACTTTGTGTTATGATCCCTATTAAAATATTGATAGTTTTCGAGATAATCGACTTTTCATTTTTTTTTTCTTATGTTTCGTCTCTTCTAGTAGTTGACATAATTATGATTGTATGATAGCTAGAAATTATTATTTTTTTAAAAAACTGTAGTCAAGATGGCTCTTTCAGAAAACGTATCAAAAGTTGACCTGCGATATACAGGGGGCAAAAAAAATCGTGCCAAACCTGATAATTTAAAATTTAAAAAATCTCGACTTTTTCAAATAGAACACCCTGTGTTTTAAGATTTTATTAGATGCCTTTCTGTAGACCCTACAATTTTTTAATAGCTTTCCCTATACCTAAGTTGCGTAGTTTTTGCAAAAAAACCATTTTTATGTAAAATACTGGATTTGCACCCGTTCCTTGGTCGGGAAAAATATTGTAAGGGTATTTATTTTTATTAAATTTATTAGTTGTTTAGCCACACTATTTAAAATAAAAATTAATAACTGAAAAATTTAGCTTCTGCAAAAAATTAAGGGAGCAAAAAAATTTTTCGAATTTTTAGTGATTTTTCAGAATGCTGTATCTCAATTAAAAATGATCGTATCAAGGTTTTAAAAAAAGCATTTTAAAGCGCCGAATGTCTAGTTTCCAGATTTCTGAGCTCAAAATTTTTAGGAGCGACAGTCATCACGAAATTCTAAGAAATAAGACTAAAATTTTTTTTTTCAATTTTTTGCGTTGATCTTCTCGGTCCACGGGCTTGGAAAAATTTTTTACACAAAAATCATGATATGGACTTGATAGCCTGTTCATTCAGCTTTAATTTCTTTTTTTAAATTTTTCTCTACGTTAATTTTACCCGGAGATATTCGACTACGAATACAAAAGCATCCTTTTGGCTTTAACCATCGATATCTCAGCAACTAATGATCAGACAGAAAATTGACGGGCAGTTTCGAAATCTCGAATAAACTTCCTACAAGGCTATGTAGCGTTCTTGGAAGAAAACAATTTTCTTTCATCCTCGACGTTAACTTGAAAAAAGTGAAAAAAGTGACTTTTTGACTTGTTTTGTTAAGTCGACCGATTAATCAAAATTTCAGAAAAATTTAAAGGTGCAAAATTTACATTTTTGAGCACCCTGTAACGTTCGTAAAAATGAAAAATTAGATTTTTTTTCAATTCTTTCATAATTGGGCATTTTTTGCTCATTGAAATTGAAAAAAAAAAATTGAAAAAAAAAACTTTTTTAATTTTTGAAAATTTACTCTTCTTTATTTTTTAACAACTCAAGATAAAAATATTGAGTCATTTTTGAAGCGATATACTGTTTCCGTACCGTAATTTCCTAT